GTTCCGATTACATTGGATCCGATTCGCATCGTGCACCTGGCTGTAGTGGGTGAGTCTTCCAATGAGGATTTCTGCATATACTGAGACTCGAACTCGAGACCTCACTTTAGTGGTACCAAAGCCGCTTACCACTTGGACTAACTCTGTTGATCCGCCAGGCTTTCTGTTGATGGGCATTCATCTACAAAGAAGGACCCGCATTTAATTACAACAAAATGGGAAGTATTAAAATGCCCCTATAATAACTTTTCTTTTTTTAAAATTCATGGTAGCATAAAAAAGGCATTTTATATTAATTATGTTAAGTTTTTCAATAACACATGATCATTTATATTCAGATAACTTAAAAATTAAAATAATAAATATAAGAAAAGACTATGGAGGGATATAATCCATTTTCTTAATATTATCATGATCATGATGGATGTTATCCAATACTACCATTTTGATAAATTTTAATGTAGAATTTCTGGGGTGTTTGGTTATTTAAATTGCAAGGTATGGCGCAGGGCATGGGCGTCAGCTGAACAGTGAAGCACATGGGTCTGTTAGAGGGTAGGTAATTAGGTGGAATATCCGCACTGTGATTCTGATACCTTTTCAATGATCCGCATTATTCCTCCCGAATCGCTCGGTCTTTGATTCTTTATTCACCAGGGGAATCATACTGTGCAGTAATTTTCCAATTTAATTATATTTTAAAATTAAACGTAGTTGCAAGAATTTGACCCTCTTTTTTGTTATTTTTGCTAATAATTATATAATAATTTATCATTCATTTTTTTGATAGCTAGGCTAACACGAAAATGTACCTTTGATCTCTGATTTTTTAACTTGATGTAAAGTGTCAGTCCAATCACTTGTCTTTGTAAAGTACTTTTTGATTACCTTACATAAGTAATTTAAATTATTTAATATGTTAACGTACGTGAATGTTTCCTCGACATTTTTTTTAATAAAACCAAGAATAAAAAGGACACTTTAAAAAATTAATAAATAAAATCAAAACTTCTTACAAACGATAAAAATACAGTTTTTTTTTTCTTTTGATAATCTACAAACCAGATCTAAAACAAAGGTAGTATGAGAGTATCATTTCCGTGCTTATCAAGTTAATATCTACCCTTAGCCACCCACAACCACTTGCTTCAACGTTAATATCACATTACACGTGAGGATCTATTTGTCAGTTTATTATTTTTGTCACAATGCAATTTAATTTTCCAAACTTCTGACTTCCATCAGAAGAATTCGAACTACTTTCATTGTGGAAGGCTGGAAGCACATGCGGCCGCCACAAACCATCCCACAACCACATTCATTACCACTGAAAATATTTTTCAATGATCACATTCACTCTATGATAGAATATCATGATTTTGAGAATTAAAAAATAATCTACAATAAATAAATAAATCACTTGCATGTAATTTTGTAAAGCATATTTGTGTGTTGCATCACACGAAGGGTTAAGGTTATTGGTCCAAAGATAAGGCCCATAGAAAGCCCACAAGTCCTGGAACTTGACATAAATGCGCCCATGGTGGGCTACGCCTAGTTCGGCCCAATTTATGACATTTTAATTTAGAGCCCAGTCTAAACACCGAAACAGATCAACACTGATTCCATTCGCGGGTGACAACCTTAGATGGACGATCGAAATGCACAAAGAGCGGGAACAGGACCACCAAGCGCACTGGTAAGGGTCGTTCCTAACTTAGGCTTTGTTTGGTTTGATGGAGGGGAGGGGAAGTAAATTAAAAAGAGGGGAGAGGAGGAGAAGGGAGGTTAAGTTTTGTTTGGTGAGAGAGAGAGAGTGGATGGGAGATTTCTTGTTTGGTTTAAAAGAAGAAGAAAAGAAAGCTAATTTTAAGTTGACAAATATATCTTTATCTTCTTATTTAAACTTCTTTATTATGATATTTATATCATAATTATTATTTTCTAATTTGTGAATATAAAAAACTAGATATATTGAGATATAACAAATAGATTATAAATAATCATATATCAAAATAAATGTCAGTAAAAAATATATTATAATCTTTAACATATTAAATAAATTATAAATAAATTTATGCTATAAGTTTTAAACTATTCCATCCTCAATTATATAATATGCACAACCTCACATGCTTAATTAGATAATACAGAGTCTTGTGTAAAAAATGAAATTGAATTAAAATAGGTAATATATAGACACACATATCAACAAAATTGGTAATTGATTATATCGTTTTAATATATCTCAGTGATTTCAACTCATATAAATTAATAAAGAATGATTTTACACATAATAAATGAATAAAAAATATTGATAATAATGATAAGATGAATGAGATGGGGATCAGGTAGGGAAAAAAGATGGGAAAGATTAAAGGTAGAGAGCATGGAAAATGATAAAATCAGAGAAAGAAAATATGAAAAAAAATTTTTTTTTTGAAAAGTGAAAATAAAATACATAGAAGATTAGTAGGGGCTGAAGAAAAAAGTAAAAAAAAAGGCAAAGAGTAAAAAAAAGTTTTTACTAAAAAAATTAGAAACATTCAAAAACTAATATAAGTAATTTAATCAGGATGAGAGATAATATTTTTCTCCTCTCCAGAAAAACTCCAAATTTAGAGGAGAGTAGAAGGAAGAGAAGAAAGTACTAAAGGACAAAATTTTTTTCTTTCTCTTCTTTCTATTTTTCTGAACCAAACACAATTTTTTCTTCCCTCTCCTCTCTTCTCCTCCTTTTCCTTCCTCCAAATACCTTCCAACCAAACAAAGCCTTAAGATCTTGAGATTGAGTTTGGGCCTTGGCCATACAGTAACGTTAAATACTTGATGGTAATCGCGTTTGGGGTCCTACGACGGCTGATCCTGACTAGTTTGAGCCTATGGTGGTGCTGACCTGACTCAGGATACCGCAAAAAAAAAAAAAAAGGGCGGGAGCAGGGGACAGAAGTGAGGGGATTGAGGAACATGCGAACGCAATAATACCGAGATTGACACCAGAAGCATGATTACAGGCTTGTGATTATTGGAGGGAGGAGTCGACTTGGTGAACGGATCGAGAGTGGGCGAGGACATCGTCAGGGGCACGAGCCACCGCGGCCTCGTCGTTGTCGGCGCCGTGGCCGTGATCGGAAATAATGGAGTCCCGTATGATGCTCTTGGTGACAGGATCCTTCAATCCCGGAGATGATTCGATGCTGCTGTTGTTGTTGGATGCTTTGTCTTTGTCGGCGTCGATGTCTTTCTGTAGCTGCTGGGCCTCCATCTTCAGAGATTTAACCTAATATCGCTCACAATTATTGCAAATTACTCCTTAACGATGATGTCTGAGTGTGATTGATTTTGGGCGTGGCCTTGCGTTCTTCTTTGATTATCCCCATTTATGGATATCCCGGTGACGCCTCATTGAAGACACGCGTCCTACCAACTTTGCATGGTTCCTTACACGTGGCATCTCCTCCATTGACCATCGATTAAGGATTATTATTGTGATTTAACGTTATTTATTTGTCAACAAGTTAAAAACAAAGGCCTTTATTTGTAATTTCACCCTCAATATCGTTGGGTTATAAATTGGAAGAATTGCAGATCCCACCCAAGAAAATTAAATACAAAAAAGGTTTTTTTAAAATCATGAAATTATTCTGAAGTCCCAAGAGATTTTTTTACAATAAATTTTATTTGTTTAATTACCAAATTACTCTTTTTTTTTTTTTTTTTAAAGTTTGTATTGACAACTGAAAGAGCAGCGGTTGACAACTTAGGGTGCAAGGATTGACAACTATTGCAACTGATTTGACAATACATTTTCTTAGCATATCACACCCTAAGTTGTCAAACCAGCAGTGATAGTTGTCAATCCTTGCACCCTAAGTTGTCAACCGCTGCTCTTTCAGTTGTCAATATAAACTTTAAAAAAGAAGAAGGGTAATTTGGTAATTAAACAAATAAAATTTATTGCAAAAAAAAAACCTTTAGGACTTTAGAATAATTTCATGATTTTAAGGGATTTTTTTGTATTTAATTTTCTTAGGTGGGATCAAATTGCAAATTTCCCTTATAAATTCACAAGTTGATAACTAGTATCCCGAAATTAAAATATCCAAATTCACAAAGGGAAACACTATGGTGTCTTTCGGTGGCCTTTTTAATTCCTACTCTCCATCCCAGGTGCCCATTGATGATAACTAACTCTCATTAGCCAGTGAAATTAGTTGAAGTTGGTTCAATTAATTCAATTTTTAACACAAACATAGTCTTTTTTTGTCAAAAATTCTCTCTTCATCAATAGCTGAATTTTCCTAGTGAATCCCAATTTTGCTACTAAACTTCATTTAATGAAAGTCAGGGAAAACTTTTACACCATTGGACTTATTTTCTATGCAAAAGAAGCTTTAATCATTTGTCATATTCCAAAGTACCAAATTTGGGATGGAAGGTGTACTACTGTGATTTTCATTAATGTAGCTGTATGTTATATGTAGCTGTACGATAAAACTATACATAAATACTTTAATTTTTAGGCAGACATACAAATATGTCAATATTAAACTTGAGTTTAAACCCTCATTGTTGTCACTAGTACAACTTATTAGGGGGGAAAAAAATTACCCTGCCTATTAAGAAAGCAAAAGATTTTTTGTTGCTTCGAATAGGTATCTTAATAATTCTATTTAAGATATTATCATATATTAAATGTCATATCAATCTTTTTATAGAATAAAAAAATTAATATAATCTTTGATCTCTCAAGTTTATTTTCATTTTAATTTTGGTTTCTCAAATTTTAAATCATAGGTTTAGATTCTTCTAAAGGTAAAATAGTCTAAGTTTTAATTAAACTATAGAGATATATTTTAAATAAAAAAGACTTAAAAGGCTAAAATTAAAATAAGAATAAATTTAAAAGAAGAAAGTATGCATTAACTCAATAAAAAATTATTACTACGTATTATACAATAAAGACTAATGTCAGGCCCTATTTTGTGGGCTGAGGCAAGGCGATGGGAAAACCCTAATACCCTCTTTCCTAAGCCCCTGGTCGCTTGGTTTCTTGCATCGGCGAAGCTTCCAGCAGCTGGTCCGTACTTGGTCGTTCTACCAATTAGTTCATAGGCACAAGAAGCTCGTCGTATGCCTGCAACTCTAAAAGATAACAAAGCAAACGCTAAACTTGTCGCCTTTACGCCTCGTCAAGTTTTGCTAGGAATGAAGCACTCCGGTGATAATAACGCCTCTTCCAATGGAACTGTCCATTTGAACCAGGAAGAGAAGCTCCTTCTTCACATCTCTTTGGCCCATTATTTTCACCGCTGTGGATTCTCCAAGACCCTGAAGAAGTTTCGTTCCGAAGCGAAAATCGAGGTGTTTTTCTTCTTTTCCTTGCTTGCCATGATGATGCAAAGGAGACATACTCTTCCCAGTAATACACGTAGGAATAGCTAGCTAAAGATATTGACTCGTGTGTTTAGAGAACGTAATGAATCATTGCTTTTTAAACGAAGTGGTAAAAACTAATATGATGTCATATTTGTGAAGAATCATAGCAAAATAATCGGGCTAATGTGCTAAATATTTCGAAAATGTCAAACAATGTCGAAAAAACAGTATTTGCATGTGGTCACCAATAGGGTAGCAGCATACCATCCTCGCTCTGTGTAGTGCCTGCTTAATGTACGTCCTGTTCAATATTCGGTTACAGAGAAGCTTGGCTTTTGACTCAACTTTTTAATGTTGATCCTGCTTGTGATGCAGAAAGATAATGTGGAGACTTCCTCAGTTGATCTAGAAGAAATGTGTCTCAAATATTTAGAATTATGGTGAGATAAACATGAGCTTTGTTTTCTTAAATACTTATTTTCGCCAACCTTTACCGGCTGTGAAAAGTGTTGTTCATGATAACTGTTTTTTTGGACCAGAAAAATAATTCAAAAGAGGAGATGCCATTTTGATATTCTCTAATAATAGGTATCATTCAAGCATATTTTTTAACTCTATATTCGTTTATTTCTCCAAAGTTTTTGCCAGTGGGGGCACTGAGAATAGAGCTATCAGAAAAAAATGTTATATTTGGTGCCCTATGCCTGTAAGCTTGTTTTTGGCTAATTATGTTGCCAAGAAAACACTGGTTTGCATGATGGCCTGGGAATGCCTGACTTATAAACTCTTCTGCAAAGCCGCTGAGGGAGTGGGACTTCAAGTGGTCTTTATTGTTAATCTGAAAATAGATAACTTTATTTGTGGTAAAATCTGGCTCTGGCTCTTGTCTTTAGCTTCATGAACAAGATAATATTCTTGTAAGTAAATACATCTTGTGCAGATTTATTGTAAGCTACTAAGTACTCAAAATGCGAAGTGTGGCATCAGTTTAGTCTTAGCAATTGTGTATTTAATCATACAGTAACTGTTGCTGAAGAACTTTTGTTTCTTTATGGGGGTGTTGTGTATTGTAAAAGTGAAGAACTTTTGTTTGATCGCTATTTCTTTATGGGTTTTGTGTATTGTAAAAGATAATTTACCATTAACCACTTTTGATGACATTATGCACTGCGGAATTAATAACACTGATTCTGCAATGCTCAGTTGTTTCCTTCAGTCCCAAACTTCTGATAATCTATAATCTGCAAACAGGGCAGGGTATTGATGCACTTGTGGGTCCATGTACACATAATTCAGGCTTATAAGTAGGAAGTGGCAGTTTCATTCTTGTAATTGTCGCTGCGTCTATTAGCTTCATTGAGTGTGGACCATCATATCAATTTTTGGATTCTTTTTGCTTCTATTTGCATATGTTAAGCGAACCTTTTCCTTGCTCTCTGCTATTTCTTTTGTCAGCAGTAAGGGTGCTAAGACAAATATCAATTACCAAAAGGAGCAAGGTATGCTTCAAAAATCTGGTCTCATGGCCAAATTCTCTTTCGCATGGTTATTATACTATTTCCTTCACTTCTCTTTGCAAATAGATCTTTATATTGGCATTTCTACTACTTACCAGTTGCTGGTAAGCACTTAAAAAAAGATGCGGATGATCCTTTGGTGGCTGGTATGGATAATGATGCTGAGAAAAAGAAAAAGAAAGACAAGAGTGACAGTGATCCTGTTCATCAGCCTGGATCAGATAAAAATTTAGAGGGTTCTAAGAAAACGAATGGCTCAAACCCTGAATCAGAAGCTAAATCTAAAGAGAAGGTAAATAAACATGAAATTCTAATTCTTATGATGAACGAAACGACCAAATCAGTGTGAGGAAGTTAAATGAATTTGTTGACATGAAATTTTGTGAATTGCTGTTTCAGGGTACTGACAAAAAGAAAAAGGAAAAAAAGAAGAAAAGCAAGCTGGTGTCTGAATCTCATGCTAACAGTGTGGAAGATGACCAAGTACAATCAGAGTCTATGCTTACGGAAGTGAAAGTTGCTGAGACAGAAAAGAAATCCAAGGACAAAAAAAAGACCAAGAAAGACAAGCTGAGTTGTGATGGAGATGCTAAAGAGTTGCATATTGGGGATCCCACTGAAAATATTTCCAAAATCGCTGATTTGGAAGCACCAAATAATGATGTGACAGAAAAGAAGAAAGATTCTAAAAAAAGGAAAAGACTGACTTCTGAAGAAAATGATGTACAACTTGCAGATGAAAAGGCAGATGAGGACCCCAAGCGCAGGAAGATAGGCAATCTCATAGAATCTAAGGAAGGAGAGCAGTCAGCAAATGGTCAAGTTGGCGGTGATCAGACACCAAGGACATATGGGGAACAACATGACAAGAAGACAAATGGAACTAATGAAAAGTTTTCTGAGAAGAGGTCTCGGAAGAAACCGGATTCTGTTGAGGTATGTTATGATTACGCTTTAGCTATATGCTAAGTTAGTGGACATGCACAAAAGTCAGCTGTCATGCCTTTCATATTTCCGGTCCTCTGGTGGATACATTTTTTCATATTGTTCCTGCCAAAGTGGTTCTCTGTTAGCCTGATCTTTTTACAAGGCAATTGTGTTCTTTGTGGAGAATTAGAGTATTGTCCAACTTTATGTAATGAATAGAAGGTTCAAGGAATTTGTCAGATGGATTTTTTTATCTCTTATAGTCAAGGAAGTTGCAATCATGAATCTTTATAACCATTTCATCGGAAGTGAATTGGATCCTTTTGAAAAGAATGATTTCAACTGACTTAAAAAGTGCATTTGGATTTTGGAACCTATTACAACTTGTAAGTTCACTTGAGTTACTTACACTACTTGGAATGTTTATAAGAATGAAAATATTGAAATTCATATTTCTATAATTTTGTTTAAAATTTACCTTGAATGTTTGGGAAAGTTTAACCCAAAAATAGATTTATAAATGAATGCGGTGACATTTTTTAATTGTTCCCAGCAGCGTCTTGATGTCCAAAGGTTTTTCTAATCTGTTTAACCGGTCAAGGGACTGATTACATTGCCTCTTAATGTTTGTGTTGTGATGTCAATTGTTATACTTATGATTTATTATTAAATTTGTCTAAGCATATGGCACTCTTATTGCAGCCAAGTTCAGCAAAACCATTTCAACGGGTCAAAATTGAAAAGATAAAATATGCTGATGAGAGGCTTCAGGATAACTCTTACTGGGCAAAGGTGTGATAACTAGTAGTGCCCATGAATTTGAATTTACTTTGTCGAATTTCCGAACAAATAATTAATGGTCTATTTTCTCTGCAGGATGGTGCTGAAACTGGTTATGGTGCAAAAGCTGAAGAAATTCTTAGCCAGGTTAGAGGAAGGTATGTCATCTCAATGGACAATATTCAATATGCTGCTTGCTTAACCATACAAGAACTCTTTTGAAATTGTGTTGTAACCTTTTATGGATCAAGAAAAATTTTAAAATATATTAACTCTATATTAAAATATAACAATTTTTCAATTTTATTCATATTTAATATATATACTTTTCAAAAGAGATAACTACTTATACTATAATAAATGAAGAACAAAATAGTATATTCATATTAAAAATTTAATGAAGTGACTTATAAATAAATAAAAAAAAATCTTCTCTTTGTCTTATAAATAGGACTAGAGAGTATTTTATTGGTGTTTTTTTGGGCCCCTGATGGGTGCTTATTTTGCTATCTTTTCTCAATAGTGTGACGATACGCACCTTTTGTTATTACGCATTTTTCACATTTAATGGCCCCGTGACATCGAACCCGTTTGTTTCCCCCAGAGGCTTTCGTCATGAGAAGACCAAGAAGAAGCGTGGGACTTACAGAGGAGGGCAGATAGATTTACAATCCCACTCAATTAAGTTCAACTATTCTGATGACGATGAATGACCACAGGGCATATAGGTCTTTTTTTTTTTTTTTTGCTGGGGAATTTACATTTATTTATTCTCTTGGTTGAGTAGCTCATTGCTTTTGGATGAGAATACGCTGATTATTATTTTTGGAGCACTATGTCAAGTATGGTGTTGCCATGAAAATTTTCCTTGCGTTGTGCCGAAAGAAGATCAAGCCAGTTCAGACACAACTACAAATCTTCAATTTCTAGTTAGTTCATTTAATCTTCATTTTTCTGTGATGGCTTAAATGATTCTATTTCCAGTTTGCAAACATGTTTACGATATATCCATTATGTATGTTGATAATCAATACAAAACTTCAATACTCGATCAAGTGGTCCTATGATTCCTGTTGTATACTTTAAAGTTTTGTATTTAGGATAAAAATTAATTTTAAATAACTGAAGAGTAGCTTGTATGAGTAAAGGGGGAAAATTAATAGCGCTTTGGAGGGGGAAAGGGAAGTTGATCTCCTCTCTTTATTTGGTTGGAAAATTTTTTAAGGGGGAAAGCGGGTTGCTCTTGGGCATTTTTTGGAAGAGGGGAGGAGTTTTCCTTCGTCCTTTTTTCTTTCTCAGCCTCCTTTCTAAAGGTGAAGTTTTTTGAAGGGAAGATGAGAGATAAAATTTCACATCTCAAAATTAATCTGAATGAGATAATTTAATTTCTCTTTTGCCCTTAATTTTTTTAACGCATTAATATGCTACAATTGTGTGTGAGAGTCAACTTTTCGTGAATAACAAGCTGCTGTCACCAAGAAGTCAATCCAGTCTTCAAAGCCGTGAGTATTCTTTGATTTTTTTTTTTTTTAGCTTTCCACCGATCTTCAACTTCTTATGAATGAATTGAATTTACATCATATAAAAATATTGCTTGTCTCTTTTGGTTTGTCTTTTGTGATGATCACCTATCACACTATTTCCCGCTCATCCTAGTATCATACGGATGAATTGTTTCCTGTTGATAATTGATATATTTTCTCTTTTCTTGCTTTGCAATACCCGCACAGGTGACAAAATAAGCTGTCATTGCCTACACATTCCAAAGTAGCACTCTTTGGTTCAAAGTGTCGACAGAAAAAGAAGAAAACCAATGCAGCAGGCATCCAAAGCCAACATCTTGGTGCAAAAGAGATATTGCACTGAAATATCACATATTTGAATCTTTTTTATTTTTTTAATAAATGGATCCTTCAAAATTTCTATTATTAAATTTTTTTCATAATGAAGAGCTTATAAACTTCAATGGTTTTCATCCAATCGCGATGCACGAAATTTTTTGCAATACTAATGTAGATGGAGTTTTACAAATGTTTATATATATATATATATATATATTAGACACAAGATGGCTTTGAGTTTTAAGTCCTATGTCATTGTAGAGTCCTACTTGATACTTGGAAGAATAGGAGTTTGGGTTGATAGTTTTATATTAACACAATTATAGTTTTTAATTTGTTTTTCTTTTAAATTTGACTAATATATGTGATATTGTCATCAATTTAGCAGTGAGAGGCCCTCAACCACAAATAGATTTTGATAACTAACGTTAAGGTATCTATAATTTGATTATAAGTATGTTTGTTTTAGATGGAATTGGTAAGGCATAGATATATGTCGGTTGTGTCAAATGCTGATTCAATACTTTATGTTGGTTCGTCGATACCTAGGATTGCGTCAAAGAGCCATAGTTTAAGTCATTTGTGCTATTGTATAGTACTATGCGACTTATATGTGCAATAATAAAAAAAATATGTTATAATATGAGTTTCAGAAGAGAAAGAGTACGAGAAAAAGTGATGGCTCGAATAATTAATTGTAGATATGGTCAAGACATTATTAGAATGGGTCTTGAAACTTTTTTAAAATTATGTGGTAGGTTAGAGAGAGAAGGAGGCTTACAAGCCACACGATATGCAAGTGTGGAAAAACAAGTAGCCAAGACTCTTTATACTTTGGCACACAAAGCAAGAAATAGTGTAATTAATTTTATTTTTTGAAGGTTCGGTGAAACAATTAGTCGTTATCTCTATAAAGTATTAGATGCTATTATTGAACTAGAAGAAAAATTTCTTATACAACCTAATAGTTTTTTAGTGCCTCCTGAGATTCGTAATAAGAGTAAATTCTTCTTCTTCTTCTTCTTTTTTTCCCCAAATATTGCGTTGGTGCAATAAATGGGATGCGTATATGTGTTAAAGTATCTCCACCAGATGCCCCTCAATATCATGGCAGGAAAGAGTACCCAACACAAAATATTTGAGCAGCACGCTCATTTGATCTAAGGGTTACTTATGTGCTTCCGGGGTGGGAAGGCACAACATTTGACTTATGAATTTTAAAGAATGCATTGACTCAAGAAGATAGGCTTAAAATCCCCTAAGGTAATTGTTTGAGTAATTTTCAAAATTAATCCAATTAATGAAGTTGTTGCTGCATATTCATATTAACTATTTTCATTTATTATAGGAAAATATTATTCTGTGGATACCGGTTTTATGTTAACAAATGGACTTATCACACCGTATAGAGGGGTTCGATATTATTTAAAAGAATATTCAAGAAATCCACCTCAAAATCACAAGGAATTATTCAATCTAAGACATGTATCATTATGAAATGCAATTGAAATAGCATTTGGAGTATTGAAAAAATTTTTTTTTAATTTTATCTAGCTCATCAAAGCCTACTTATGTGGTTAAAACTCAAACATTGGTAATACTTGCATGTTGAATTCTTCATAATTACTTGATGACTACATAATCTGATGAAGATCTTATTAGGGAAGTTGATGAAGAACTTGCAAATTCAAATAAAGATGATGATGGTTGGGCTTTAAATAACGAGGGTGTAGAAGCCACTCATGGTCAGCTTATTAGAGAAAACATGGCTAATCAAATGTGGATAGCTTATCAAGCTCAAGCTTGTTGATTAATTGATATATTCAATCGAGATTCATTTTTAGTACTTATATTTGTCATTACTAGAATGATTTATAATATTAATTTGATTGATTTTCAGTTTTAATACTTATATTTGGTATTGTTAGAAAAAATTTACGGTATTAATTTCATTGAGTTTCCTTTTTTAGTACTTCTATTTATTATTGTTGGAATGATTTATAATATTAATTTGATTGAGTCTAGACTTATCTCTGTTTTTTTTTTCAATTGAAATTTTATTATGCTATAACAAACAGACCTATAAAATGGGAACAAGATCAAACAATAGCAAGGAGTTACTTAATTGGACAAGGGCTATGGATGATGGCCTTATTGATACCTTTATATATCAGTACGAACACTGTTAAAACGTTAATGAGACATTTACCACTATAGCTTATGAAGACATTGTCCAAGTGCTGAGTGCACAATTTGGTAGAAAGGTTGACAAGGACAAAATAAAAAATCATTGGAAGATGTTGAAAAGAAACTTTTCAGAAGTTTATGATATATTTAAAAATGGTCTGAGTGGTTTTACTTGGGACCCATCAACTCAATCATGGGATGTTGAGCCTTAAGTCTGGGAGGCTCTAATTCAGGTATGATTTTAACATTTTATATATTGTTGCTTTTTTTTAATGGAACTTAAAATGTTTCTTTTAATATATCTATGCATTGTCTCAGTTTAAACCAAAGGCTGCAATTTGGTGAAATGCTCCTTTTTCTAATTACAATAAGATGATAATCTTATATGAAGCTAGTAGAGCTGGTGGAGATGAGTCTCTAATAGTAAAGGAGAAGCGAAAATGTCGCCATGCATCTCCTATGAAAGCAGATTATGAAATTATCAATAACCTGGATTAACTTATCTCACAAAAGGAGTACATATTAGATGGTGTTGAGATTTTAAGTGATGGTAATACTGGTAAAAAAAATCCCTTACCTTCTAAACAGCCACAAAGAGCAACTAGTGATTGTGGTAAAAAGAGAAAGAAAGAGCATGATTAAGATAAGGAGACTGATCTCAACATAGTGAAGAGCATAGTATCTGACATGGCGACAGCAATTAGAGAAGGCAATGAAGCATTAGCTCAAGGTCATGATTTAATTCATGACATTTTGAAATGGGAAAATGATTTATTACATGAGTCAAATGTCATAAAAAGAGAGAGTTTTATCCACAAGATTCCACCCATGTCAGGTGAAAAGATTTGGCATTTGATTAGTGAATGTGGATTTGATGTTGATAAAAAACCCCAGATTGATAACTATCTTATGAGTGATGTTAACAAGTTGAGATCAGTTGTTCAATGTCTATCTCTAGCATGTAAAGCAGTAATAATGGATATGGTGTTTGGATCTTCTTCATGTTCTCATTAGGAGTAGTCTTATATCATGTTTTCGATATTTGAATTATTTTTTAATGTGGATGATATATTCAGTAGTGAATCTTTTTTCACATGGATCTTTTTATTTTGGAAACATGGATGTTTATTTTGATTGCAATATATATTAGTAGACAAGTTCAATTTATTTTTTTAGTTTGTTTTTTAAGAAGGTTGGTTTAATTAAAAATACTATAATTCTTGTTATTTTTAATTATTGTTCAAATAATGAGTAGTCATAAATAATTTGTATTATGGCAAGTCAAAGTTGGTCAATTGTATTATACATATTTATATCTTGACAAAATGGAAAAGTAAAAAAACTTATTTTAATTTTATAAAGTTAAAATAGTCAATTTTTGATTAACTCCTCTCCTCTTACAAACTAAACAAGTTATCATTAAAATCTCTCCCCTCCTCTCCCTTTCATTAAAATCTCTTCCCTCCCTTCTCCTCCCTTACCCTCCCCTTTGTAACTCCTCCTCTTTCTCTTCTTCTCCTCTTCTTCATTAAAATCCCTCCCCCCTTCCCTCTGTCAAGCCAAACATAGCGTAAGACCCAAAGCATACGGTAAGGCAAATGAATATGTTCTTTGTTCCTAACTCTAGTCTTGTGTTAAAATAAAGTCGTAACTTGTAACAGGCTTGTTTGCTTTATACCGGTAACAATAGGATTCAAAGAACCAAAAACACGAATTCCAACTGTTGAGGAGCTGAGAATATAGCTGCATCTCACGATTGAGACTTGAAGGATGGTGTTACGGGTTGTCCTGGGTTTTCTGCAACTGACGTGGAAAAAACTTAATTTCTAATCCGAATCCCAATATGGACTCGGCTTTTATCGAGTCAGTAATTATTAATTAAGAGACTGTTTCTGTCGTAAAAATAGAGTTTCTCTATTATTACTGTAAACTAATGAGACTATGATTAATGATTAACAAAGATATAATAACTCTCTTAAGTTAATTGAATTCCTCGTTGAGAGATAACCAACAACTCAATATTATTGGGATTAAAGAGGGAGGTGTAGGATTCCACGTCTCCACACTAAACACATACTTTTCTGGTTTTAAATATAAGACTCACTTTACAATATAAATTATACTATAAAGTAATTTGTATATTTAGAACCGGAATATTATTACATTGGACTCTTTATATGGAGCCTATCTCAATTATTAGCCAATGACACTTTTATCCTTCTCTAGCAATTATCACAATGAGTTTTGGACATCTTAGGGGTTTAGGTGTGGGGTAAACATCTAGAGCTAAGTGAGAAAGAGAATGAAAATTGAAGTACTCCGCATCTAAATGGTCGCAATCTTTTCAAAATTTGTATTTTTATTGAATGAAAATACAAATTAAAAGAAAATAGGATTTTAGGTACAAATATTAAAAACCCAATAAGAATCATTCGACTTGTTGTGGAAGGAAGGAACTAGATCTTGTGGAAACGGAAGAACCACGCAAAGGACCCGTTTTACGTGGGCAAAGAGAAAAGGATAACAATTAGATATATAATATAAAATTACAAATAATGACACATACATACAAGCCCTATTAATTATTGTCTCCATTCACGCACTTTCAAATTACGATTACGACCATAGAATTGATACCTGCCATATCATTATCCAGAGAAGTATTTAGAAGAAGAGAAAATACGTATGCATTAAAAAAAAAATTTAATTATTCTCTATTCAATTTGTCATTCCCTGTAAAATGGGAGATCGTATACAACTTTTTTGGTGAACAAATAGGCAACGCCCAAAACATTACATATATTAAACAAAAATTATAGGTTAAATGACATAAAACTCTTAAATTTTGAACATATGTTTTAACCTTTAAAACTTAGCAGCCAACCCACTTAAACTTTTTAACTTCATATGAATAAATCCCAACAATCACTTGTATATCTTTTTATGCATGTATACAACCCCCTGAAGTTTTGAGTTATATGTATACAAGCGTCCTAGATTTTAATATCTATGTACATAAGTAACGAATAAAATTATTAAGAAGAGAGTTATTTACATAAATGTGAGAGTTTAAGAGGATTTATTGTAAAGTTTTAAAAGTCAAAAAGATCATTCATGCCCCCTGAAGTTTTATAAGTCGATCACCAGATCAGTTATGCCTAATTTCTCCTGGACTAGAAGGAGTGAAAAGAAATTAAAATCCCTCAAGAAAGAGGCTCCAACTGGCAAAGCAATCAAACACACATTAATTGCACGATTTGTTATTAATTGGGCTATTCTGTCAAAGGAAATTAGGACGTTATTTTTCTTTCCGGGAGAATCCCGTAAAAAAAAACTTAAAATTACTAAATCTTAAATCAAAGATTTGGTAATAACATTTCAATAGGTTTTGAGAATAATAAAATTATAAATAACAACAAATTTTTGTATGGGATTCTTTATTTGACATATAGTAATTTTAACTTCTTCTTGTGAAATTTTTTTCTATAATAGTGGGGAAAAGGACACTTATTTTGGTATTTTTTTTCTGGTGAGTTTCCGTTTTCAATATCAACAAAGCAATAATGTCATCATCGGACAACAACATGGCGACACATGTGATGTTGATGAGTGAATTAAACGGAAGTATTATTGAGGAGCCTTTGCTTTGCTTCAAGTTTCAAACAAAGGGACCAAGACAGGCTTACAATAATTCACAATAATAATATCGCAATGGGCCATGCAAATAATGATTCAAATTTCAAATTCAAACTGAAAATCCCTGGCTCTCCTGATCTGGTTTCCTTCTGAGTTCTTAAAATTTTTTTAATTTGATTTCAATTAATCCATCTATTTTTCTTCCTACTCTCTTATTATACGTAAATATAAATGTTCTTTTAATTTAGATAATCAACTGTAATTTCTATATAATACTCTTCTGGTCTTTTATGTAAGACTTAATTTTAAGTTGATTTTGGTCCTAAATATAAGATCTATTTCTTATATTTATTAATTTTTTTAAATTACCTCTATAGATACTCCCTCAACCATAATCAAGTAAAAGAAGGAGGAAAGATATTAAGGAAAATGATTATGGTGTTTTAGAAAAAAAACATCATATTTCTTATAATTAACTAAATTATCTAACTTTTTTTAATCTAATCAAATTAGTTAAATAGGTCTTATATTAAAAACCGAGTAATTGAAAACAGAATATGAGACTGCTCACTGATCCATTAATAGAGGTCAGTCTTCTTTGTTTAATTAATTGCAAAAATTTTCTTGGAAAATTACAGGTGCTTCTGGAAGTTCCACTCGTCAATGGCAGAAATCTCCAAAGTCTCTCACATGTTGGAAAAGTAAGGTATATACACAAATTTTTTTTTTGTTACAAACCTGTCGCAGATTTCTTATTCTTTTTTAGTAGTCATGTTTGTTTCAATTAAAAAAGATATACATTGCATTTTATGAATTGTAGACACATCAACCATTCATTGAATTTGAATTGGTGCAGTAGCCTATGAGAAAGACGTTGAAACCAAACTACAAAAAAAATGGTAAGATTATTCCTAAAATGAAATGGCTCAAATATATCATATACCCATAATTAACAAGGTACCGTCTTTTTTAATTGCAAACTACATGCTGCATAAATATTTGCATTAGGCATCCGAAACTTATAAAATTCTATTATATTCATATAATTTTTTTTTGAGAAAATATATTCATATAAATTTATATTCATATAAATTAAGAACCTTGTAAAACAATGAATACAAAACAACGATCTGTTTGCCATTGAAACTTCAAATTTTACAACTCAAACATCTAAAGCCAAGGGTTTATATTCATATAATTATTACTTAAGAACTAATAACAACTACTTTATATCATTAATTACTCCACTAATCTTATTTATAAGTCACTTTTAGTGAGTTTTATTAAAATAAAAAAACACTAAACTTAACTCTTTCTCAACGTTTAATGATTTTCAAATTTTATTCTTAATATATATATTTTCCAATAAAATAGCGGTCTACTATTAGATATATGATATCTCTCTTTGAAATTGTACAATTATATATACAATTATATAAAAAAAATTTAAAGGAAAATTACAATGATGCCCCAAAAAAGGAAAATAACTACTAACAAATCTCAATGACAAGTTAGAAATTGTTATTTTTTATTTTGAAACTTATCATTACAGGTTGTTTAGGTTGTTATTAGGACCCTTTAAAAAATTTTTTTTGGGATTTGATTGCAATTCTACCAAAATTTAATGATACGGCTTATAAATAAAATTTTAAAAAATCATTTTTTAATTAATAAATAGGAATAGAAGTGTAATTTTTATCTAGGAATAGCTGTGATATTTCACATTTGAAAAGTCACTTTCATTTCATTCATTCTCACTGTTTGATTCTCTTTCATTTCATACGCCAGACCATTAGGGTTAGGAACTTACGTTCAAAGCTTCACACACACATACTTAATATATTTATTATCTCATTTTTTTTGAAGTATCATACTTTTTATTTTCTTATTTTCTTTCCTATAAATAAGAGCATTTATGAGAAAAACTTATAATTTTCACATATTCGCTATCTTTAACTAATTTTTTTATCTACATAGTTTGACCATATATTTTTTATAATAAGGGAAGAGGAAATATTGTTGTTTTATCAGCAATATAATTTATTGTTTAAACTTCATACAACGCACAAAAATATTTTTTAAAATTTTTTTTAATGAGTTGGATCCTGACAGCGTACTAAGACTAGGACATGTTTTTAGACCAAGAACGCGCCTACAGAGTTACATGCACAGAAAAGGCCTTTAATTGCTCATAGTTTCGGTGGGCATGTGATCCATACATGTGCTGTCACATGCGTGCATAATTTTCCTTGGAAATTTACGAGCAGTCAATTTGTTTGTTTCCGTTTCCAAGGTTACAACCCGAGGTCAAAAAAAATTCCAAGGTGGTACCGCAAAATTCCCAGGCCATTCAATTCGGTCAGGCAATGGTGTTTTTTAAATTGTAGCGCCCTTCCGTTTCTTTTTAATAAAAAAACAATTATTAAAGTCGCGTAGTTTAGTTAAATTTAACTGAAAACAATATATTTCATTCTAATTATACTTTTATTTATAAAGAAAGTACACCGGAAATAGAGTGAAAATTTATCGTAGATAGATAAGAAACGACTTGTATTAAGGATAAAAATAAAAAGATTAGTTTAATTAAAATTTTTGACAAAAAATTTGTTTCTTATATTTAAAATAATACTTCGAGAGAGGCTGTTTCTTGTGAAAAGAAAGAGAGACAATAGTGTTATTACTTACTGGGTTGATTATTAGATTTATTCTGAGTTTTTTTAATATATTATTATGTATATAATTTTTTTTATTAAATTTTATTTAATCATGAGATCACCGATTGAACGCGAGTGCACCCGTCAGAAGATAAGATTGTGAACCACTAACCCATTTCCGGTTCTGCACGGTTCGGCTGTTAATAACGCTGTTTCCTGTTGAATTCCATTTCCTTTAGGCCCAGTCAGGTTTATATATGCGTAAAGTTTCAGTTTCATATTGGAATTGAGAATGAGAAGAGTGAGTTTCATCTCACTCTAGAACTTGGAAAGAAAAGGCCAGGGTGTTCTAGCAAGACGAAATTGCAGGCAGGGAGTTCAATCAGCCAAAAGAAAAGAAAAATGTAGAAAAGTTAGGAAGTTTCTAAATAAAGAGAGAAAATAATAAAGAAAAGTACTTGTGGAACAATCATAGAAAATTGAATGTCTTATTAATTGATGAGGGAGGAAACACGGGGCAAATGAATTTCCTGGAAGTTTCCCGAGCGATGTTGACAAAAGCTATTGGCTATATACTCTCGACCACTGATCACCGCACAGATTGAGTCTTAACTATTTGTCTTTCTGCCTCTCCTAGCATCACCATTGAGCAATGCTGCCATCTGCTATATGCATGAAAGTATCATTGCAGAAATAAAAGGCACAGATTGTTACTGGGTGGCGGATTGGTTGGTTATTCTGAGAAACGGAGCTTTCACCGTAGTGTGGCTTTTGTAATCCATTTTTACTGCTTTTCTGGTGGTGCGTCTACTCTTTATTATCACTATTTTCAACACAAGACTGCTCACCTCATCATGTCAAGATCATAGCCCTACAAGATAAGGTAAAGTATCTCTGAATCTTCGCTTTATTTTAATGTCGTGTCCCTGGTTTCAAGTTGTGCCTAATTCATGCCTATTTAAATGAAACTGGATGGAGAAAAAAATTATCATCAGCACATATGGGTATTGGCGTACTGTTCCACTGAATCAAAATACATGCCGTCGCGAATATATATACTCTCATTGTGGGAGCTCTAATTATGGGGATACATAGGAAAAATGCTAATTAAGATCAAAAGAATCTAATAATGCTTCGTTGAGCATTAAAGTGGACCAAATCCATGAAATTAGTTGCTTTTTGAAAGTTTAACTTTCCCTCTTCGCTTATGCATAGTTTAGTGACATAAATACTTCCTTATAAGTAAAAGATTGTGCCAGGTTCGATTTCATTTGTAATATTAAACTGTTGGTGTCGGCTCCTTTAATTGAAAAAGAAGGGCAAATATTTTCGTTTTACTTTGATTTCATATTTACTAAAGCAATAACCTATTTTGTTGGGAAAAAAAAGTCCTATCTCCAGTTCTAATTATAAGACCTTGTTTATAATCTACAAATAAGATCTTATAATTAAAACTAGAGGTAGTAATAATCTATTTTATCAACTTAAAAACTCACCGTATTTTAATTTTTTTTAAAAAATATATTAGAGATACTTGTATAGCAATATTAGCTCTTGTAACTTGTTCTAGTAGTATTTTTAGTCTCCATGCAAGGGTTAATAATGTTAATAGAGAAAAATTAAAGATTTAAGTAAGAGAAAAAACATAAGTACCAGATTAAAAATTAAAAAAAAAAACCATAGGTACCAGCAAAATATTTTTTTAAAAAAAAAGTACACCATCATCCTCATCAAGAACTTGTAGAGCAAGACCTTTCTTCCTTTTGTACGAGTCTAGCGGCTTGTTGATGCCTTGGTGGAGCTTTTGTCGGGCGCTATTATCTATCCTTGCTGTATTTGCTCTTGAGATGATTAGGTCAAGTAAGATACTTGCTTTGACGTCAAGTGTTTGTTAGTTTGGAGGCTATCCAAGAAAAAGTGAATTGGATGATAATAAATTTTTGAAAACAAAGCATAAAAATATAATAAATGAATTTTTTCCCCCCACAAAAGCATAGCAATATCATCCAATGTGAGTCACAGAGAGAGAGAGAGAGAGAGAGAGAGAGAGAGCAATATTGGCACATAATGTTTATACTAGTTCTGTTTTAACAAGTTAGACCTGCGTTAAATATCCTTGAGAGTTCCACTGGCTTTCTCCAAGATAAATTGGGCCCCCGAGGCCTTTGTACGAGTTTATAATCCTTCATGAAAGTTCTTTATAGAACATAATACGACAACCCATTCAAAACTCCTCCAATTTTGAGCCTCCTCAAGGATTAAAACAGCGAAAGATTACTGAGTGACTTGAAGATAACCTCGCAGATTGAGTAGATAAGATATACATTGAAGCAAAGAGGTACTCCTCTGAATCTATATATTTATAGAGCAGAGAGAGAAGAGAAATCTTTTTTTTCATATTTATAGGATAGAAAGAGAAATTTTTCATATGAATGTATAATTTTACTCTTCATTTATTGTTGTGGTGACTTTATTCTCATCGAGTATAATATATACTCCTCTGGTCCTAAATATAAGACCCTTATACTAAGAGTTTTATATTTAGGATTGTATAAGGGTCTTATATTTAAGACCGGAGGAGTATTAAATAGGGATAAAATTAAAAAATTATTGAATTAAAAATAGAATTAATGAAGTTCAAGGTTTTTTTTTTAATTTGTGTAAAACATATTAAAAATGACTTATAAATATGACTAGATGAATATTTCTAAAATTAAAAAAAATTGGATTTTGATGAAATTAATTAATGCACATCTAAAAAGTTGTTAAAAGCATTGAATCAAGGCTATTGATAGTAGAAAATAATATATTAATAGTTGAACTCAAGAAAACAGTTACTTCTTGATTCTATTTATAAATCACTCAACATGTTTCACACAGATCAAGAAAAACCATAAATTTATTAACTCTCATTTAAAATTTAACAACTTTTTAACTTTATCCCTATTTAATACTGCCTGTGGTCTTAAATATAAGAGCTAGTTGATTAATTGAGTGGATTAAGAAAATAAGTTAAGTTAGTTATTTGTAATAAATAGGAGTTATCTTTTCTAAAATATCCTTGCTAATCAAGTTTATTGGCTATAACCACTATTATTAGAAGGACTATCTAAAAAAAAGGATAAATATGAGAGATAAAGTGGATTGAGGTATTATATTTAGGATCAAAATAAAAGTCAAACAATGTTTTATATTAAGGACTGGAGGTAGTATATATTATACCTTATATAAACAAAGTCAATCCAATAATAAATAAAGAGTAAAATTGTACATCTATGTAAAAAAAATTTCTCAATGCCCTATAAATAGGACCAAAAATATTTTTTCTTTTTATCTTATAAATAGGACCAAATGAGTATTTAGAAAACGTATAATCTATTCACCAATCGTAATAAATACGCTTGATAAGTGTGAAAAAAGCTACTTGTTGACAAATGCAATCACTTGGTGATAGGTTGGACAGAGTGACAAAATAAAAAATGAAATGATTTTGATATTATTAGCGTTGATGTTCTCCTTTGTGTATGTGTATGTAAGAGGTTATGGATTCGATTCTGTTTGTTGTAATCTAATCTTAGTATCTACTTCTTTAATTCAACCCAAAACAAAACCTAATTCCAGTTATTGATATGTTCGAAGTTATAGAGGAATATTTTCGAAAAGTACTCAAATTAAAAAACACAGGCTTGCACATGACTTCCCACTTGCATATCGGCATCAGTATCACAAGGTTATAAGCACTTTGCATAGAAAACGTACTCTTTGTGCCATATAGATTCCATGGATTTTCATCAAATAGGAGCACCATCGATTAACAATCTTACACCAATCGAGAAAATAAAACATCCAATAGTATCACGAGAAATGGCTTTATAACAAGGATTCTAGAAGGGGTTTTATTTTTCATCAATACGTCATCGTCATTCGTAATTTTTCATAATGTTTGACATCTCTTGTCCCATAAAACTTAGGACACATCATGATATTGTCACTTTCTTGTCTGAATACTCTGTATTTTCACGTAGGGACACATCGTGATACAATTTAATGAATGACAATGTTGTTTGAGCTAGAATGACGTAATAAAATTGACAGGATTAAGAAATCGAGCTTTAATTTGATTTAAATTAGTTGGATAGTTTATTGAAATGTGCAGCAACAAGCAAAAACGAAGCACCCTCGGAATATTACCTGTGATTTTTTGAAATTTTTTTTATTTGTTTCATTTTCTTATCACTTTGATGTATGAATATGAATTATACATGTGATGTCAATTGATATGTGGTAGGTAGATAGATGCATGCATCTAGCACTCTCAGAAAAATTGATTATTAATCAACACACACATTTATATTCTGCATATGTAATTTATAAATATTAAGTAAATTAGTTAAGTTAGTTATTTAATTTATAATAAATATGTGCTATTTTTTTAAAATATCATTTTAATTATTTTTTGATAATAAGAAAAATTAAAGCAATAAAGCAACTACTCTACAGAATTACAAGAAAACATAAAGGTAGAGTCCTCTCTAGGAGTAAAATGAAGAGGAGGCGGGAGTTCTAAAGCTCACTTAGCTAGACCAGCAGCATCATGGTTTTTTTTAATTATTATTCTTATTTACGAAAACTTCTTTTAATATATATATGTATATATCTATATCTATATATATATATATATATATATATATATATAACCAAGAGCGATGATTTGAAAAAAATTATAAATTTGAGGATGAAAATATTAGTCTTATATTTAGGCGGAAAATGTGGCAAAAAAATATATTTAGGGGAAAAAAAATCCTTTAGAGTCTTACAACTATTATGTCCAGTTCTTTAATTATATTGTTTCACGTTAAAAAAAACAAAAGGAGAGAGAGAACACGTAGCAAAGCATAATTGGATAACTTAACATATTGATTGTATAGAACTTGATCTAAGTATTACTCTTAAAACGAAAATGTGACGATAGATATACTTTGGTCTTGTTTCTCTCTCTCTCTTTTTTCCCGCTATGTACAAGTATTTTTCTATTACAGGCAATTTTGTTTGAGATACTATTTGGGTGTTTCTTCTAATAAGAATTTAAATCTTAATTCAGCATGATGTGAAAAATTAACTCTTTTTGTTAAACCTGATTTTCGTTGGCCTAGGAGTTTCCTTTTTAGGGAAAAAAAACCTTTTTCTACCTACTATACATTACATTAGCATTCAATTTTTGAAGCCCAGCTCTTTCATTTTTTGGTGGGATGAGCAGGCCAGTTCTATATAGTATAGACAACTCCGAAAACAAACTCCGAAAACAAACCGACCTCAATAAAGAGATCTGCCAATTGTGAGAGCTTTGAGTGGGAAAGAGGAAGAAGGTTCGCGGAAATTTCCCCTTGGAATATCTTGTAATCTACACATTCCAATTCAAGATTCCTCCATATCTTTAATATCAATGCCTTTCCTAAAGCCGTTGCATCAGTACTCTCCAGATTTACCTCAGCTAGTTTCACCTTTCAGGAAATCCTTCTTCTACAATCTTCCTCCCCCATCCCAACCATTTTAAGAATGAACTTAAACGTCACGCAGAATCTCTTCCTTTCTTGATTCTCGTGGAACCAGAAAGGCGAAAGCTAAATATAGCATAATAAATTGAGATCAATGGAAGTTTCATGGATGAGCGAGACTTAAATAATGTACAACTGAAAACAAGTATTGTTTATAACACCTTGCGTTCTCCAAAAGCATCGCATCTCTGCTTTCTTCAACCATCTGGTTTCTCAACTGTATATAACCGATATGTCTCCATCCACATATTTAATTAGCTTTCTTCATGTTCATGACTGACTAAGAAATTATTACCTTGAAGGTTCGTAGTGATTCAAACTCGATCTCAGTGACTCAGTTACTTTTTTTTTTTTTTTACACGTAGTTATTTGAGTCATTTTTGGCTTTTATGCTTTTCTTATCCTTTCGCGCCATGCTGTGTTGATTTTCTACTGGGGCATGGAAAAGCAATAATATAACCACTAAAGCAGATCCTAAGTCCTTGATTTAATGTTCTTCCTATCCACTTTATCTTTTGATGATGATAGTGTTGGCCTTGGTGGGTGTGTGGTCAAAAGAGAGCATTCGAACCTTATTCATTGTTTCAATTCTAAGTTTGGCATCTAGCTCTCCCGCTTCTCCTTCGTCTCTCAACTACTACTCATCATCTTCAGGATCAGAGAACATATATATATTTCATCAGAGTTGGAGGGTTAGATTCTCTTGCAATTTCTTGGTTTGTTCAATTAGCATTCATCAAAGTCCGACATCGATTATTCTTTGGTGTGCTTGATCATAGTACTGCAAATTAAAATACATGATTGTTTGGAAGATGAAAGGAGATTTTTGGTTCTGATCGATATTTGATATATATATATATATGTGATCAATCCTTGTCGGGTCGTGTTATTGCAGATGCCATTTTAATCGACATTGGTTGCGGCATTTATACGTAAGTGGATAAACATAGCTCAACAAACAACCTGTGCATTCCTTCTGTAAATTAAAGGTACACAGCACATATGTACTCTCAATTATTGGTTAACCATGCAAGCTTTTGCCTTTTGTCGGATGTTATAATTAATTTGCTAGAGGTTCCTGTTGAGGAACTTATTAATCCAAGAACATAATGGGCTGACTCAATATATAATCTCACTTTTTCATTTTTTTAAAAAATCACTCGCATATATATATATATATGGTTATTAGGATATTGTTTGTTTAAATTACATTTGACTGTTTTTCTTAACATTAACATAATCTAAGCTACGAGTTAGGATTTTTTGTCCTAGCCTGACAAGCTCAGGTTTTCTCTTCATCAGCCTGCGCAGTCCTCTTCATCCTATCAAAGTAAAACACATTAGTAAAACGTGCATGAGTTGGTGAAAACTTGCTTTGTGTACATTAATTTCAACAAGTCAAAACCATGATACTTCCTCCAATCCTAGTAATTAAGAGTTAAATTACATTGAGAGTCTGTTTTAGTTCTAAATATAAGATCTTAATTTATTTTATTCTCAAATCATAACCAGGAAGCTAAGGTGGTTGAAGGGCTTTTAGTTAGATTTGAGAGTGTTGCCCCTCCTCCGTGTGGAATTTATCTCTTCAAAGTTCAGTAATTATTTTGTTTGTCCTTGAAAAAAAAAATACTATCTCCGATTTTATTTATAAGACCTCGTTTATAGCTTACAAATAAAGTCATATAGTTAGCACCGAAATATTGGAGGTACTACCATCCGTCGTGTGGAATTGAATGCATGTCATGAAACACGGCCATCCCGCACGTTGTCGGGGACAGGCCGGCGTGGCCTCTTCGATCACACTTATAGTCATTAATTCCCATCCAAATTCTCTTGTTCAAGCACTCACGCTTTTAACGCGTCCACCGTCCTTACCCCCACCAGCAACATCATGGTCCACCCTCCCACTTCCAATGCTCAAAAGTTGTGGCCTCTCCTTGGTTGCGTTCTTGTTGGTCTTATCTATACACACACTACCTCTGATCATTAATATCAGAATTAATTTGACATTTAATTTGATCTTAAGTATAAAACTCTAATTCACTTTATCTCTAATATTTATTCATTTTCTCTCAAATAATCCTTATAGTGATTGCATATGTTAAGGAGTTGCTATCAATGGATGATTCAAATATATATGCTTAATAAGGGTATTTTAAGGAAGACAATATCTATTTACTACAAATAACTAATTTAACTAACTTTTTTCATCTATTCAAATTAATTAACTAGATTTTATATTAAGAACCATAAGTAGTAGTATAAGCTAAGCAAGGCCTTGTTTTTGTTTAAAAATTTGATATATATGTGTTTCATCCCTAATTAATTATATGTTTCTCTTATTTCTTTTGCTCATCCATTCACTCCCTACTTGCCATTTTCATAAATAAGAATCTATTTATTAAAAAACTTATTTTTATACTTTTATTACTTTTAACTAATTTTAATCAACTTGTTTTAGGTTATTGTTGCTTATAATTACATGTGTGTGACACCGGAGAAAGTACTTTAATTTATTATTACTAAGATTTGAGCCGTTGGGTCAAGTGCCATCTATGTGGTAGAAAGGAATGAGGAACTTAGTTTAGGAAGTTTAAATTAGGCGGTTAAGATTACATTTTTTTTTTTAAAAAAAAAAAACCAACAGCCCATGTCTTGCCCCCTTTCCTTTACTAAACGATGCGTTTCCAATACTGGCACGGGGGAAGCCGGTAGCATAACCTTTGGGGTACAGGTTTCCCGCCTTGTCCGGTTTAATTTTTTACCCAACAATACAATTTCGATTGTTTATTTAAGTTTTTTTGTTTATATGATTTTTTGGTAATATCTGAAATGATAGTACCTTATTATTTATTGATCTGATGTTGGGTTTATTTTTTTATGAATTTGTTTGGTTTTATTATTTTTGTGTGGTCTTTTTTCTTCAAAGACTGAGACCACGGTACATGAAGTAATTTAGACACTTTTGATTTAACTATTTACTAAAAATGTCTTAAGGCTGACAGGACACCTGAAAAATAAAATAAAATTCTACTTGTCATGATTTTCTTTAAGGGCTCCATACCATATAGTATATGATATTAAGAAAACGCATTGATGGTTGTATTATCCAAAACTTATAAATTTTACATTTTTTATAAATCTGATATGTATTTTTTTAATAAATTTATTACTATTGTTTGTAGTGATAATAGTATTATATTAACTACACAAACATATTTTATGTTTTTTCACCGAAGAAAAAAAAACATAGGAGCCTAGCAAGGGTTCTTTGAACAAGAAAACACGAAAACAAAGACAAAAGAGAAAAAAACAAAAGAAAGAAAACATAAATAGAAAACTAGATTTAAATTTGACCAAAGCACAAAAATACATTATTTCTACATATATTAATTTAATGGAAATTTTTTTGAAACGAATAATTAATGTAAGATTACAAAAAAAATTTGCACAATATTAATTAATGCGAGAAAAAAAATTGAGTATATCAGAATGAGTCATGGGTCACAATCATAATCTTAAGTATCCAGAAAATTAATAAATTTATAATTATAATTCTGTTCATTAAATTTAAATAATTTTCCACCCGCGCATCCCGCGCGCACTCTGTCATAACTGTCATTCTTCGTCCACGCGTATAATCAATTTCCGCCTCAAATTATGAAATCAATTAGCTTCCATCAATCACTTAACCTTTACTGAAGCGTGCCAAAGAAGTAAAACATGAAGATTAGAAGAGGCAATGTGCTCCCTATATTGGCATTTACCGTTTTAGTGCACCTTTGCTGTAATTCTTCACAAGTAAAGACGAAGAAAACGCAGTAAATCATCAGCCTATTCTTGTTGTTTTCTTGGTAAATCACTTGCTGTTCTGCCTGCCTTCTTATCATTTCTCCTCTAAACATTAGTTTTGTTCTGGATAATTAGGTATTACTGCATTTAGAAATCTCTGTTTTACTATAACTTTTGTCATTTTCAGTTAGTCCTGGCTAGATGCCTAGATGTCGTGTTCTGCCGAATTTGACTTGGGAGAGAAAAACATGGAAACGGAAGTTTCGGCAGTGATTGTGTTTTTTTTTTTTTGGGGGATCAATTTAAAAATGAAGTGATTGAACCAGTTTGGGAGTTACATGGTAGGTTATGTGAATCTATTTGTAAAGCAACTGAAATTGCCGCCAACTGTTTTGGAGGGAAAAGTAAGTATGGTGTCTGCAAAAAAATAAAAACGAAAGCATAGATCTTTTTGAGAAGAACGAAAGCATAGATTTGAATATCGAATTTTAAAACAGAATTGATTTTGCTGAATTGACAGAGAGGCTTTAACGATAAATGTGTCATTGAGAAAATGGTGTGGTTTTGGTTTTACTGTCGTTGTGATAATGAAGTGTGAAAACAAAGGCATTAAAGAGTGATAGTACAATGTCTTCTGACAGTTTTCGGAACGATGAGTCTCTTGAAGAATTTGCCTCGTGACATTGAGGCCGGAAGTAGCAGCCACGGCGATAATGACGATGCGGAAAGTTCGTCTGATCCGTTTGTTATTCCCAGAACAAAGGATGCTCCTATTGAACGCCTCAAACGTTGGAGGGTATGTGTTCTATTACTGAATCACTCACTTAATCATTTTGATTTCTTGCTGCTTCTTTTTTGTTCATTTGTCTTTCAGCCTGTTTCTTTACATCTGTGCTCTGTTTCTGCTAACCCGGTCTATATATCTCATTGTTTGCTATTATAATTGCTTTCGAGGTTGAGTCTCCATTTTTCTCTGACCGAGTGATTCGAAAATCTTTCTCCTGCTGTTTGTTTGGATGATTGGATTTTGAATTGTGCGCTCATTTTCTGTTGTTGCAATCGAAGGGTTTTGTTTTCCCCCGGGGTTCTTGGGTCTGTAGAGAGACCACAACTTCCTCTCTTCCTAATGGACTGCTCTGTTTTTTGCTGAAAAAAGTGTACTGCTCTCTCTATCTTAAGAGCCAAACAGAAGTGAAAAGGCTACCTGTCACTCTTTAGAGAAGGGACTTTTGGGAAATTGGGTTTTTCAAATTTTAGAGCTTAATTAAGGAGGTGCTCGGTATAGAGTGAACTTGACCATGTAGGCCTGAGATTAGATGCCTTTTTTTTTGGATTTAAATTCTTCTAATTTTGACCTAACAAGGGAACAAGGACCGCCTCGTACGAAACATAAAGGGCAGGAGGGGATAGAATACTTACAATACAGCCAGTACATTGTTAGCCGTTGCCCATGACGTGATATCTTGAATTACGAAATTACAACTTGATGAGTATTTCTGATCATCCAGCGTAGAAAAACCATCAGTAGGTAGAGACTTGAGAGTTTATGGGAGGGCCAGCTAGTAGCTGCCTCCCGTGAGTTTCAGAAAATGTGATTAAATAGCTCAGAGAAAGAAGCTTTAATTTGGGCACTAAATGTGTGGATGATTGGTTGTGGAGACAAATATGATTGGAGGATTCTGTTGCATTCATTCCAAGTTAATCGTTGAGGCACAGAGAAGGTGGGATGAAGGACAAATCCTGAGGTATAACTTTGCTGTGCTGAAAAATAAGTGGACCTATCATTAAATGGATTGTGGGGGCAGTGATAATTCTTCCAAAATATTTCCGTTACTCAGAGAAGGATGTGCTTTCTTTTGCAGCGGATCCTGTAGGATTAAACAACACTTTAGCATTGAGGGTTTAAGGATTCAGTTATTATGGGTAGTAACATTGAAAATGAGGGTGGTTGTGTTTCTTATTATTACATGCTATGAAAATACGGATTGACAGGGTTAACTTTTCATACTTGTTCTCTCAGACAGATGTTTTAATTGATTAATTTATTTTATAGTAATTTAGGATTTTTAGGTTCTAGTCATCATTGCCTTAAACTTCCTCAAACCCTTCTCTCTGCCATTGTTGCTTTCTGTTTTACTCAGCTTGATAAAGGACTCTATAGATTACGTGTCTCATCTAATTTGGCTGAAATGTGAGTGGATTGGCTTAAATGAGTTCAGAACTTAGCTATTGGCACTTTCCAGTGCATTATCTGAAAAATGCTTAAAGGTGAATGCGCCTAGCCTGAGATATTCGCTAATCTGAAGAGTGAAGATAAAATTCCACTATATGACTTCTCAAATTGCATATTGGTCATGCTTCGTTGCGTCTTAATTTTAATATTTTTAATTCTAGCAAGCTGCACTTGTGCTTAATGCTTCTCGACGGTTCCGCTACACGTTGGACTTGAAAAAAGAAGAGGAGAATCGGCAAATATTGGCGAAGATTAGGGCTCATGCGGAAGCAATTAGAGTATGGTTCTCTCAACTGGACCTTTCTTATTGTTTGTCTACATATGTACAGTGCTCTAATAATTTATTTTACTCAATTAGGCTGCATATCTGTTCAAAGGTGCTATAACAAACGGGGAAAATGGTGAGTCTCTGAATTACCATTTGTGTATACTGAATTACAATAGCATCGGTAAACGATATTGCTTACTGGAGTTTTCTGCCTTCCAGAAGAGCCTTTGGTGTCATTAGATTCTTATCTGTTAGATTAATACATTTTTCTGCACTTTTATAAAGTATAATCTGCGTGAAAATCTATTTTTGCGCTTCTATAGTATTGAGTTAGCTGTAGTGGCTGTTCATCGACCTTTACTTCATTTGGACAGCTGGTTAGGCACCTGACTCCAACAAGTGTTTGATAAAGTTGTTTACTGTCTGGTATATCACTTTAGTATCCTCTGCATGTGGGACCGGAAAATCTCTAGCTTTTAAGCACGGCGTTATTTTTCAGTTGTCGTGATGTCACTAATTCATGCTATTTTACCCCTTCACTTGAAGCTAAATATTGTGCGTAAGCTATTTAGTCTCGACTGAGTCGACTCAGACTGTTGACAATATGTTTTAATTGGTCTTTCTGAATTTATTTTCTTCGATTAAAAGAAGAAATCATATGAGAGAGAAAAACGATACTATGTTATCAATCTAAACTAAGGAGATCAAAACGCAAAACCAAATCTAACGAAAGTACAAACTTAAGCATGCAGCAATGCTGACAACTATATATGCATATTTGACTGGCACACTCCCGAACCCAATAGGACATGGCCACAAGCATAGTCTTAGCCCATAAGACATCTGATGTGGAACAGTGTCAAACAGAGGCAAGGGGGGGAGAGAAAGGAGGAGGGAGGCGTAGAAAGAAATCAAGAGAATTTCTTGCCAACAAGCTAATAGAATTATTTACAATCAATCAAAATTCAGCTTCCCTAACCTTAGAGACTAGGGGCTTTATATTGAGGCCAAGGAAATATTCCCAACAATTAAAAAAAAGATAATGTTAAACAAAAGATGATTAGATGGATGGCTAACAGTATTTGAATCAAACAAGAAGTAATTGGATTATTAATTTCTAATCCTTATCCTAGTAAAATAATATTTCCTTAATTTATCTTTTTTACGAATTTACAAGTTATTAATAACATCTGTCCTGTTCTCTTTCCCATTCTCCATTACCTTCTAAAGGCGAAAATGCACCCTTGAAAAGACAGTTCTTCTACGTAATTGAAATTGCTCTTCTTCTCATTATTTGCTAGGGATCATTGTACTATCCTTTCTAACATTATGAATTTATGATGCATGATATATGGTGTTTGTTGCATAATTATCTTACGTCCTAAAACAGTTTCCAGATTACATCCAATTATTACTGGAGGTGAACTTTGATAGGTTGTAATGTTGATAATTAGTGCTTTCAAACATTGTAGAAATCCCACTTCCTCCTCCAACCCCAGTTGGTGAGTTTGGTATTGGAAATGAACAGCTTCTTTCAATTTCTAGGGATCATAAAGCTGGTGTTCTCGAGCAATATGGAGGGGTAAGTTTGCCATAAAATTTTTTCTTAACTTTGGAAATGGTGCTAGTTTGTTACTTTGTTTCATAAAGATCATGTGCTTCTTATGAACCGTTGAATCAGGCTAGAGGGCTATCAGAATTGTTGAAATCTAGTACAGAGAAGGGGATTAATGGCGATGATGCAGATCTATTAAAACGAAGGAATGCTTTTGGTTCAAACAATTATCCTCAAAAGAAAGGAAGGGGTTTCTTGGTAAAGTTTGGTTCATTTTTTAATTCATAAAGAGGCTTACTACTATTATTCAATTCTCTTCATAACAGGGGGGGTGTTATGGTGACTGACATACAATTTTTTTTTAAAATAAATTTCTTTGACAGATGTTTGTGTGGGATGCTTGCAAGGATCTGACCTTGATTATATTAATGGTGGCTGCAGCAGCTTCATTAGCACTAGGAATAAAAACTGAGGTGAGATTGGCTAAGAAAGTTATTTAGCATTCTTTGAGCTCGTATTGCTGAAGAATGTAGTAAATCCTCGTAGCACATATACAAGCAGGCATATTGTTTACAAAATGAGGATACGTAGATATGGCAGTGTTCACTAAAAAAGGGATATGGCGGCATTCTAATAATGTAGAATAAGGAGATGACCGGTATAGTATAGGAAAGATTTGGATAAACTGTGCATAAGTTAGTAATAATTTACTAGAAAGGAATGTCACCATGTAGTTCAAGGCACTTTCATGCCAAAAACGAAACTAGCAAGAGACGACCATCGCCAACCATTACTTTAGCACAAACCTACGCCATTATTGATCTGATAGACATAGTATGGTGATACACCATTAAGCAGACCTGACACCTGTTAAGGTGGTGTCAGTGCCGCATAAATATATGCATTTTGCATAGATAGTGGACTTATGACTTATTCATTAACTCTCATTGTTTCATGCAAATTTGAGTGTGCTAGCATTTTGCTTCTCTCCATGGTAATTTTTTTTTTTTTGGCCTCACTCAGTCATATGGAGGTTAGTTTTCAGAAACCAGAATCCAAAATTTGGTGGTCACAATTAATTCTTTATAAAATGGAGAGGATGGGGTAGGCTGATGCAATTGAAAAGGAAGAAGTCTTAGCTCAGGTGAAGATTAGTTGTTGTTAAGTACGTGACAGGGTTGGCGGGGAGGGGTTTGGAAATATTACACGCTTGGACCTGGTAGGGATTGGAAAAAAGGAGAGCAAACTTTATGTGTGGTTAGGTTTGATAATTATTTAGCAGAGACTTTTCTGATGTTCATGCAAATGGCATAATTTCTAATTAGGTGTTTGTTTCAGGGAATTAAGGAAGGATGGTTTGATGGAGGAAGCATTGCTTTTGCAGTAGTTCTTGTTATTGTTGTTACAGGTATAATATTCTCTGTCTTGTCCTAGTGAATTAAAGCTTTTGGTTTACGCATCTGTGATCCTGTCTCTTGATTAGCTTTCTGGGTTAAATTTTGTTTGGCGGAGATATCATTCTGTGATCCAAGACATATATTTATTTTTGGCTCACGGAGGCTATAGTGATGACTTTATATTTATTAAGGTTCTTGTTAAAGGCATGAACCACCGTTTTTTTTTTACCCTTCATCTTGTAGCTATAAGTGACTATAAACAGTCTCTCCAGTTTCAACATCTAAATGAGGAAAAAAGAAATATACATTTAGAGGTCAGTCTTTTTGCTTCATTTTAACTTCTTAATTATTGATTAATGTTCCTTCTTAATATCTTCTCTAATATTCTTTTAAAATATAAGCAGGTTATAAGAGGTGGTAGAAGAGTTGAGATCTCTATTTATGACATCGTTGTTGGTGATGTTGTGCCCCTTAATATTGGTAATCAGGTACATAAGTATCTTTTTTATCATTTTTGTTCTATTATACTTGATGTTTGCCTTTTATTCAACAATTTATTTTTTAACTGCTCTTCTGTAGGTCCCTGCCGATGGCATCTTGATCACCGGTCACTCTCTTGCTATTGATGAATCAAGTATGACTGGAGAGAGCAAGATGGCAAGTGTTCTATCATTCAGAGAATTAAAGCATTTATTATCTCCTTTAGCCAGTTTTGATGATAATTTTCAATTTAACAGGTCTATAAGGGCTCTAAAGACCCTTTTCTGATGTCTGGATGTAAAGTTGCAGATGGCAGTGGTACCATGCTGGTAAATTTATACTTCCTCATGTAACTGCATAGTTTATCATAGTTAGAAATAGATGTTGTGATTAATGGTGGTTGGGTCAAGTAGAAGGGACTTGATTCCCCTAAACCAAGGTTGATGGTTCGAACATTGTTGATAAAAAAAACTCAAACCCACAATGCTCAAATCTAACTTAGAGATATCAGATAATTGTATTAAAATAATTGTGAAAGGTTGTCAAGGTAGTTAATAAAATACATAATACTTCAATGTTAATTGTGGGTAATAAACAAGACAAAAAATGGCGGCATGACACTTTGGTCCCAAAAGATCAAATTTCATAACAGGCATGTCCTAGAAAATTTTCCTAAAAGATTTAATGCAAATATTGATGCCAACAGTTGCACTTAGTAGAGTCTTAGATGCAAGTCATTTGGAATGACCTATAAGACTTAAATCCTTGATTTGCAACTCTTTGAATTAATATTTGCAACTCATCTATTGGAAATTTTTCTAGGATTTAACTGCTATTAAATTGATTTTTTGCGACCTAAGTGCCATTCCCCCCAAAAAAAATGTGCATGGTAAATATCCTGAAGGCATAAAACTTATCCACTTAATGGGGAATTTTTCTGATCGGTCAAGTCATGAAATTATACTCATTTTGGGATACTTGTATTTCTATAGGATGCTGCTTAAGTTTTAATATAATTCAGTTCTTTGGGTGGATGGGTACATGAAAGAGACATAGTGTGTTTAGTTTGATTTTGTAGTTACCGTTCTTTGGGTAGATGATGGAAAGACACAATTGTTAATTTGTACCGGATTGTGATTAATAATTCACTAAATTCAATATATATTTTAAACTAAATAAAATTTTGTCTTTTGTAGTTTAGACTGCCTTTTTTTATTAATTAAAACTGCAGTATCTGGGGGAATGTTCATGTAAATTTCTTTAATTGGCTAGGTACTAGGTGTTGGTTTAAATACTGAATGGGGGCTTCTGATGTCTAGCATTTCAGAAGACAATGGTGAAGAAACGCCCTTACAGGTTCTCTATTTACATGTGGATTTTTTCACAGCTTGTGTATCATCAGTATGTTTAACTGTACGAGGTCTTAATATAGGTACGTTTAAATGGTGTTGCCACTTTCATTGGCATTGTTGGACTCTCTGTTGCTGCTATTGTTTTGATTGTGTTGTTGGCCAGGTAACGTGTTAATTACTAATGCTTTTTCCATCTGTTCTTTGCATGAAATAGATTTTGTTCCATGTCTCTGAATTGTTGAAATTTTAAACAGATATTTCTCTGGGCATACTAGAGATGCACATGGAAACGTTGAATTTAAGGCAGGCAAGACAAAAGTTGGTGATGCAATTAATGGGGCAATTAAAATAGTTACAGTTGCGGTATGTATGTTGATAAATGCTGGGTTATCCACATGCACATTGCATGTGTTTATACTCCTGTCTTTATTTGAAAACATTCAAGGGCTTTCAAGTCAACACTTATTTGGTGATTGCGACTCATTGATCATTTAGGTGACCATCGTTGTAGTTGCAGTTCCTGAAGGGCTTCCTCTAGCAGTTACCTTAACGTAAGTATGCTAATGTTCATAGAAGGCAGACTTGATTTCTGGATTTCTAATTTTATTTCTCTCCACTCATTCCCTGTTACCATATGTTGGTGGATGCCCAAACTTTGGTGGTTGCTCCTCATGGATCGATTAATTGTCACTGCTCTAGTGGTTTAATACGGTTGTAATTATCATCTGTTAGTTCTTTAAATAGATTAAGTGTATCTAAATTTGCTAAATAGATGCCAATGACCTCAACAGTGTAATGATTTAGAATCTTAGAGGTTCAGAAAATAAGGAGTACGTACCATTTGTTTAATTTAAGAAAATGTCCTACCTACCCTTTTATTAAGCATTATATGTATAAATATCAGGTTTTATATACTTTTTGCTCCATAACATTGTTTATCTGTGTTTTTCCTTTAAATCTCAATTTTTGTCTACTTATACCTTTCCTTTATTTAACTGTTTCAGACTTGCCTACTCGATGAGAAAAATGATGGCGGACAAAGCTTTGGTATGCCTCTTGATTTTTTAGTTTCAACTGCATATTGTCATGTCTATCTGATAAACATATATGAGTATAACAAATAAAACTGCAGGTGAGGAGGCTTTCAGCCTGTGAGACAATGGGCTCTGCCACAACCATTTGCAGTGATAAGACTGGTACATTGACCATGAATCAGGTTTGTTATGAGGTTATGCGGTTTTTGGAGTCTTGGAACGTCTGATTTAATTTTTCTTACGCTATGTTACATCAACTTAGTGGGATATGCTTGTTATTGTGTGTTACACCAACCTCTTTTTAGTGTACTTGTTGCATGTGTTTTCATCTTGTAGTGGTATCAGTTCTAGACAGCTCTTACAGGTGCTAAGCCTTTTAACTTCTGAGAAGAATTATGAGTTCGGATCTCATCTAACCTGTTAATCTGTAACTCATGTGACACAGAAATAGGAAAGAGCGCAATTTTTTAGCTTTCGTCAGCAGCCCTTTAACTTGAATAAAAATTTGGAGGAAGTAACTGCTGCTGGCCGTGGTTTGTGGAGATAGTAGAGTGTGTAGCGTTTTTGTTCATTCTTTCAAATTTCATGAATTCTTTGATTGACAGATGACTGTGGTTGAGGCTTACATTGGTGGGAAGAAGATTGGTCCACGTCACGACAAGTCAGAGCTTTCTCCGAATCTGTGCACTTTGATCATTGAAGGTCTCGCACAGAACACCAATGGTAGTGTCTACAGGGTTGGGGTATGCTAGAACTAATTTCCCTTTTTCTTTATTCATGTTTTATACAATTGCGTATGCTGAAATATTTTGCAATCACATGGATATTTTATATTATCTTTTACAGGGTGATGTTGAGGTTTCTGGATCACCAACAGAGAAGGCAATTTTACATTGGGGAATTAAGGTTTGTTTCAGTCATAATTTTTCTTCTTTTTCAGTAGATTTTTTTTATTAAAAAAAATGAACAATTTCTGACTGTTTAAGTAACTCAGCTGGGGATGGATTTTGAGGCTGTCAGATCAGAGTCATCAATTCTCCATGTTTTTCCATTTAATTCAGACAAGAAGCGCGGAGGAGTTGCAGTAAAGACGGTACTATGGTTTTTTATTCACCTTTTTCCTTTTTGTTGGCATGTCATGTTTGGCATATCAATAAACCTAATGCACTGAGAAGAAGATAGCAGTGTATGGAAAGTGATGGGAGAGATTGTGGAGTGCCAATGAAGAAGATTCAGAGAATAGCGTGAAAGCAAAAGCCACTCTAAATGTCAAAGGCTGCTAGCTTTCAGCCTCTGGTCTTCTTTGTTTCAAAGAGGGGTTTTTGCCTTGTCATACATTGCATGTGGTGAATGCGAAAGCCAATAAAAAATGGTGCATGGAATGTAATGTTGCTATGTGGGACCTCCAGAGCAATGTGCTATGCATGACACTATAGCCATTGCTATATCTCACTATAATTGAAGAATCACAACTTATCTTTATATGTCTAAATTTTAATTTCTACTAGTCTTTGAAACAAAGTCAAGAGGTTTTGCTTGTGCTCTGAACAAATCGATTTGTCATCACAACAAGCTATGAAAGTGTTTTGTAGCTTCTTTCTGTTCCAGGACTTTCTAACTTGGAGGTTTTTCATTTCCACAGCTTGACTCTCAAGTTCATATACATTGGAAAGGCGCTGCTGAGATAGTCCTAGCCTGTTGTACATGGTATATTGATGCAAGTGGCCAGTTAGTGAAGATGGATGAGAAGGTTTGACAAAATAGTTATTTATTAAGATCGATGATCAAGTGATTTTTTTCGTTTTTATGTTGTTTCTATTTGGAAGTCAGCTAGTGGCCAAAAAGAAAACGGACGTCAGCTCAGATGATATATCGTAGAAGAATATTCCTTGAAGAATTCCCCCACTTTGCTATCTTTTGTCATTCTAGTGAATTCTGCCAGTATATAATTGGTTTTTGTCCATGGAAGTTTGAAAATTGTTGATATACGTTCACTTGCAAACATAAAACTGGACTAAATCCAAGTAGTACATGGGTTGTTAAGATGAGTTCTGATGATTCCTGTTCGACTAATTTGAGAGTTTGACTGACTGAGAATGTCTTGTCTTGCAGATGGCATTTTTTCAAAAAGCTATTGAAGATATGGCTGCTGAGAGTTTACGTTGTGTTGCCATGGCATATAGATCATATGAAATGAAAGGTGTTCCAACTAGTGAAGAAGAACTTGCTCACTGGTCATTACCAGAGGATGATCTCATTTTACTGGCTATTGTCGGTCTGAAGGTGCGTATTTTCTCCAGATGTAAGCCTTTCATTGTCATCATCTTATTATCAGTCTATCTTATACAAGCCCTTCTGTTGCATGATGGGTCTGTGTCAGTATGGAAGTGCTGCAAATATGGTATACGGGTACTATATTAATTCAAAAAATGGTTCAGAGCTGTGCTCTGATTACAGAATGATGTGAAGCTGAAGAAAAACGGCACACTCCCTGGTTTTCGAGAGACCAGAACCTTTCTCTGCGTAATGCAGAAGCATATATTGATGCTCATTTGCTGATTTGCAAAAGCCCATCAGTTGTTATAATTATGTTTGTCTTAAGATCTCCCCGCTGGGGGAAACCTCCAGAATGAAGACTTTTGTTGATTTTTTTTTTTTTAAATATCAATATCATGATTGTCTTGTGGATGAAAATACTTCTTACGTGATGCTTGGATATTGATTTATATATAATTCAGTAGGCGATTACCTACCTTTTTTCATTGGGCATTACCCCTGCTTTATAAGGCATCTTATATATCCCTATTTTGGGTGTATATATAGCCATTGGCTTTTTACTAAAGCTCATAAACTTACAAGTGCACAAGTTCGCTGACCTCTTATGAGTCTTCTTAAATTCCTGAATTTGATAGCCACAAGCTGTATCTTCATTCAATGGATGTGCTAATAATTGGAATTAAATTATGCTCGACGCTCCACTTATATAGTTTTTGAGGTCAAGTAATCTGTTGTCTATACGATACCCATTACCATGTATATTTTTATGATTTCCCCTCTGTCAATGCAGGATCCCTGTCGACCTGGTGTCAAAGATGCTGTGCGACTTTGCCAAAAAGCTGGAGTTGAGGTGTCCATTTTATGCTACCGTGTCCATTTCAAGTTTAGATTCTTAGGTCATTTAACTAATACGAATACAAACTGTTGTCAAAATTCATTATATTATTTAAATTCAATTTTACACTATTTGAGATATTGCATTAGCTCAAATGTTATTATTCCCATTTTATAAATCATGAGACAAGAAGTTCGTGAGATCATGTTTCTATGTTCTCAATACTAAAAACAGTTGGTTTTGACTATTAGATTTTGATAAGTTTTCGGGGAGGAAGAAAATTTCTTTGTAGATCATTGGGTTTTTGTTTGGGTTGTTACCTTTTTTCTGATAAATATCTGTTTAATGTCACGGTAAGTGGTGAGAGTGTTGTTGTATAATCTATTCTGATTTTTTTTCCTCATGTCACGGAATTGTTTCATAAAGTAATAGTAATCAGATGAGTACTTATTCTCTGACCCCAGGTACGGATGGTGACTGGTGACAATATAAAAACTGCTAAATCAATTGCTGTAGAGTGTGGAATACTTGGATCAAAAGTTGTGGAGCCGATCATCATTGAAGGAAAAGTGACAAATATCGATGAAAGGCCAAACGTCATTGAAGGAAAATCGTTTCGTTCATTGTCAGATGATCAGAGAGAAAAATTTGCCCAAAGTTTATTGGTATTTAACTGCTTTGACAACCTTTGGTTTGCATTCTTAATGTGATGTAGCTCCCCGGAAAATTTGGTTGACTATCAATGCCGTGAACATATAGGTCATGGGACGGTCTTCTCCCAATGACAAGCTTCTGCTTGTGCAAGCATTAAGGAGGACGGAACATGTTGTGGCTGTTACTGGGGACGGAACTAACGACGCTCCGGCCCTACATGAGGTTTGCAAAGAACTTTATGTTCTTTAAACTTGCACTTTGTTATTGACTGAAGTTTACTGTATTTGGCAATAAGAAGTTAATAACAAATTTTTATAATGTATTCCTCATCGTAATTGCATAATGACTATTGCTAATACGAATTCATCTTATAAACCTTCTGATTTGTAATTTGAATTTTATTTTCTCTGACCCTCGTGGGAGTGTTTTTCTTCTGTAAACATTTGTTTATATTTTGATGGCTGTCCTTGGAATTGTATACCTTTTGGAGTTCAGGCCGATATAGGTCTTGCAATGGGTATTCAAGGGACAGAAGTTGCTAAAGAGAGCTCAGATATCATTATTTTGGACGATAATTTTGCTTCGGTTGTGAAGGTTAGTCCTCTTTCCTTATTTAGATGTTAGGTTTACCTTTTATCAAATATATGTGCTCATTAACGGCCACCTCTGGAAAAAGAGTGCATCTTAAGATGCAGAAAATACTGTTTCATTTATTTAGAATTCTATATGAGAGTTGGCCGGAAAAAAAAAAAACAGAATTATCTATGAGGTTCATTGAGAAGCTGTGAGTAAAGTCTTCTTCTGAAGTAATCAATATTTAAACTGTACCGCATAATTAGTTGGCTTTTGTGAATTAAATGTAGGTTGTCAGGTGGGGACGGTCTGTATATGCAAATATTCAGAAATTTATCCAGTTCCAACTCACTGTCAATGTTGCAGCCCTTGTTATTAACGTTATTTCTGCGGTTTCCTCTGGCGATGTCCCACTAAATGCAGTACAGGTACCCTCTGTTCCCATCATTCTCTGCCTCTCACTTGCACTCGTTTATTTTGGCACACATTTTTTATTCTCTTAATTGCTTTCTGATTTCTCTCCAGCTTCTTTGGGTAAATCTTATCATGGATACACTTGGAGCACTGGCCTTGGCAACTGAACCACCTACAAATCATTTGATGGATCGGCCTCCAGTTGGTAGAAGGTGATATTTATTTTATTTTTTAATGGTCTGGGTCATTACTTGAAATTTATGATCTTTCCATGTGTCTAATGTGTTACTCCTTTGGTGCCAATTGCTTGCGATCACAAGCAGGGGTGGTGCAGAATAACACAATAATTCTAGGAAGGTCATTTTCTTATCATTGGTTATTTGAATTCAGGAATGCAATTGAAGAATGAAGAATAGTATATGATTCTAGGGATTAAATCCCCTTCAAGGAATACAAAGACAAAGCAGGGCAGAATCCGTAGTTATTAATAGCACACGTGTTGAATGCTCCAGAACAATTTAGTGCTTAACATTTAGTGTTGATCTACATGAAAATATAATTCACCAACTAAAATTTTCAAAACATAATTGATAACGGCTGATAAATATAGAAAGCCAAGTCGCATTAAGAAATCCTCATAACAGCATAATATTCCACATATCATAACATCAAATACTGCATAAATAAATTAGCGCTTAACAAAGTTTTTGAATCTAAGATTATTCCCAAGATATATAAATCAGATCTTCCTCAAAAGTAACATCACAATTATCATCTTTAAGCGACCATGAATCCGTTTGCTTTACTAGCAGTAATGATTGTCTACAGGCATGCCTGTGCCAGTACACCCATGGTTCCTTGGGTAAAGGCTAGATTTCTATATGAAGAAACTGTTAAATTCGCAGCCCCCCCATAACACAACCAATGCAATGTCTGCAATGTCTTTACGCCTGGACGGTTTCTTTGAAATGAGCATGACTAACTCTTGTATTCCTTTCAGGGAACCTCTTATAACAAACATCATGTGGAGGAATCTGCTTATACAGGTAAACCAATTTATCCTTTATACTGCCACGTTTTGATACTAGTTTTCATGAAATTATCTGGAGGTTTGCTGAACAACAAAACCTAACGCGGATTTGAATCTACGGGATATAGCTTTACCGTTCCTGGAATGAATTCTTCATTTGGGATAATCAAATTACTGGTTGGAAATTTTTCAGGCAGCGTATCAAGTGTCTGTTTTACTTGTACTGACTTTCCGAGGTACGACTTTATTGAATCTGAAGCACCACTCTGACGCTACCAAAGCGAAGAACACCGTAATATTCAATGCATTTGTTCTCTGTCAAGTAAGTCCTTAGTTCCACTAAAATTTATTGAGGGAACAACTAATTGTAGCTTATGCTAAGAATAGGGTTAAAAAATGATTATCCATTGCTATAGAATCTGGATGGTTTCCCTGTCCTTGTAGCTCCATTTTCTCTCAGATTTAATTTGTTTTACGTTTGAGTTTCAGCTTTTACTGAGATTGCTTTGTTGTTTAATTAGGGATTAAGTGGTGAATGTTTTCATTCAGTGCAGTATGCATTATTCAATTTTACATTGGGTGTGTCATTTCATGAACAGCTGAAAGGTTCATGTCTGTCACTTTATTGGGCTTTCTAGGCTTGAAGCTTTGTTAGGAGAATTGACCTAGTTAGATATCTTAATTGACGAAGCCTAAGTTCATTTGTGTAGTTTTTTAGGATAACCTAGCCAACTTATATTCCTCCCGGTCAACATCTCTCGTTGGATTCTTCTTTCCTTCTTCCTTAAGCTATAGCTAATCCTCTCGATGTCAAAGAAATTTTGAGATCTGCACTACATCATTTTGCATCTACTGTTCACACATGGAGCTATCATATAATTGCAATTATTCTTTTGTCTCAGTTCTCATATAAATAATGATATGACGAATACGCTCTTGAAAATGCAGGTTTTTAATGAATTTAATGCCCGAAAGCCAGATGAAAATAACATATTCAAGGGGATCACAAAAAACTACCTCTTTATGGGGATAGTGGCTCTAACTCTCATACTTCAGGTCAGACTTCTGTTGGTCGTTGCTATATTTTTGGAATACTTAATAGGCCGATGATCAACATGTTTTTTTTTTCCGGTTCAATAGGTCATCATCATTGAATTCCTTGGGAAGTTCACATCGACAGTGAGGCTTAATTGGAAGCAGTGGCTCATCTGCGTCATCATTGGAATTATCAGGTTAGTTTCCAGCCCATGCGTACATCCATTTTTAAGTGTATCTTTGTCCTAAACGTCCGTTGGCGAGTTTCCATCGGACATTTTGTAGTGAAAGCTTAGATGGGTCATAATTGATTAACTTCTTAATTAAATTGTTATAATCATGTAATCAAGAGAGGTTAAATGGCATTTGTTGTAATAAATTTAAACTCTAGAGCTTGCCTCGTGTATATGACTGCTAATAGGAATTACTCTCTGCTACAGCTGGCCTCTTGCGTTTTTTGGCAAATTCATACCCGTGCCAAGGAGTGAGTGTCACAGGTGGTTTTATAGTCTCGTTCGAAGGAAACCAAAAGAATAAAAGGAACCTGAGTTCTCAATGTGTGCGAGTCTTGATTTTCCGGCTTTTTTACCTTCTCGTTTGCGATTCAAGTCTCATGTGGTGGCACAAGTACTTCAATGATGGAAATAGTATGCTGGTAGCACAATCGTTTTCCTTTTCTAACAGGTGTGGAATTGTTTTAGCGTGTTTTTCCCACTTCAATTCTAGGATTGTTTCGTTGTAGGTTCTAACAAGTGTATACGGAATTTTACATCGTGTTGGTGTTTGTTCACTGTATTTTGCCTCTTTTTTTTTTAGGGGTGATGACTGTATTTTCAGTTTGAGGAAATATACTGCAAAAGTAAATACACAATTATTCAATTTATGTATGCTCCTGTATTCATTATATTGGATTTTCTTTTATTCATACATATCATTTCACAAATATACTCATTTATTTCCTTTTTTAATTATCTTTTATCCAAATATATAAGATTCAGATTGTATATTCATCTCTTTATTTATAACTCAATGAATCACCAAAAGCTTAATAGATTACTTGACTACTACTCCTGTAAGAGAGCAAGTCTTTCCCTGGACATGAGGCTGGGATATGGCAAATTATTCAGCATAATTCATTCAGAAAAGATAACCTTATACTTACCAGAGAATAACAACATTAACATGATGCGACATTTTTCTTGATCATGAAACACACCCGCACTTACGCCGCAGCAATAGTCTGTGATGACCCAAGACTTTTAATGTGCGAGGTTTTCATGAAGCAGACAGTGAAAATGGTGCATGGCCTGCTCAATGGTGGGCGCATATCTTCCTACTGAATATGCAGGAGATTCAAGGCCCTTCTGAACATTTTCACACAGCACAATATCTTCTATCTGCGTATAAACAACAACCAGACATAGTCCAATGAACTTGGAAATATGTTGTCAAGCGTCAACCAAACTAGTACTACCATGTATTACCTGTACTTTCTCACTGTCCTGTAAGCTTCTGTCTATGAAATCTGTGTCATCCTGATAACGTAGAGAGGTGAAGGAAGTAAGAGTCTATCTTTTGCAATTTCACTCCAAGCTTTTGGACTGATAATAGGTTTTTTAAAATTGTTTTTTAAAAAAAAGTTACAATCCACAGATTAACTTCTTTAGAGGAACTATGGAACCTTAAGAATAGGAAATTCATTATAATTCTGCGTGAACTTCTAAGAAAAAAATATGTTAAAGCATAACTTAGCTTGACTAAAGCTTCAAAACCCAGTCCCAGAACTCTCTCAGTCATTCACATATTCCGAAAAACCTGAGCTCCTTGCTTAATTTGAGCTACAATCTTTGCATCTTATTTTTATGGACGTTCTCAACATTTCATAAATTCATCAGAATAAATAACCCTGCCACAAAAGCTCCGTCACCTAATGCCTATGTTTCTTGGAATTTCTATCCTCCATATGCACTAAGTACAAAATTATCAGTACAAGTTTCGCTATAGTAACATAAAAGAATCATGATAGACCCCAAACTCCAGGGTCCAGAAAGCAGCAGGAAGAGGCGAAAATATAGAATAGGAATGAGTCATGCCTTTGAATTGCCACTGAAACAGATTTTTACAAGCTTCAATGTCATAGAAAAGAAATCTACAGCAGTCCAAAAAAGGAAGCCAGGAAGTAGCTATGCTCTAGCACAGTTAGGCTCCCCGATACATCCCAACCAACCCCCTTATGTCCTCTCTCCAACAACCACGGCTTGCGCGAGAATAATGGCAAGATTAGCCCCAAGTTGGATGTGATTCCCCAGCTTAACCGGGAGTGTTTCTATAAGTGGGTGATAATTTTAATCATGTAGTTTTTCAATAGCTGTTACTCATCACCTCTGTTTGGACATCTATCATATTGTTAGTTTGTTTCTATTTGGGTGGCACCCTATATTTCTATATACTCTTTTTGATGTTTAATAAATTTTAGAGGAGGTTGTTAATTGACTGTTTTGAATAGGGTCGCAGGATTTTTGCCTTCTTTCCTTTGGTGCATTACGTTCTGTTCTACCATGAATAATAAGAATCAGAGCATCAAATATCTAAACTTCAGTTTCCCACCCATCCCCCACCCCCAACTGCTCATTAAACTTATATATATATATATATATATATATATATATAGATAATTGTTTCAGTTGTCAATAAAATACGATTTGACACAAACAATATTAAGAAAGAAACCAACACAAAGAAACACACCATTTCCTAGTATTTATTATAATAAATAGCAAGCTCCATTATTCATAAGATATAAACAACACTTGTTACCCGGCCTCCTTGTGATACAAGGGCCCGCTAATTTATTTATGAATATCTGCTAGTTCCCATGAGTGAGAGAAGAAATATGTCAACAGTAAGTGATTTCAAGACTCTGAATGCAGCTCATTTCAAGACTCATAATGACTGATGGTACAAGAATATCACATTACCTTTAGAGAGTGTTCAAGATAGTAATCAAAAACTACTCGGCATTTGTTATGTCCCAGCGGAAGTACAAGATTGGTGTCCATCCAGGGTCCATATCTACAATTTGGAAAACATCAAAAGTTAAGAAAGTCTACTATTTTGGATGATAATTACCCAAAACGATCAAGTGAGTACCTATTTATCATGAAGTTGGGATAAACAAAAGCATATATAGCATTTTTTCCAAGTCTGTCATAGCTCTCGTTCCTTTTTGCCGAGCTGCTTTCACAACTTTGAATGCTTACCCTTTCAAACGTCTACATCATTAAATACAGTCCATTATACCGCAAAAGGGGGGAAAACTAACCCTGGGTTACAATGAACAATGAATGCCCAATATCAAAATTATGTTTTTTTTTTTTTGGTTGGGGGAGGGGGGTGTGAGGGGGGCGACCTTCCTTCTGGCTTTTTTTCCCTGGGATGGGAAGGCTCCCAAACATAACATGAGTCGAGAATCATACAATTTTGATTTTTACAGTAGGGGCACTAGAACTGAACTAGGTAGGAGAAAAAAGCAGAGGAAGAGAATGAGGAAATAATTATATCAGATAATGCATCGTGTCTTTTTCTCCTTTTTTGGCCCGAAGACAATGCATTGTGTCTGGAAACATCATTAATCTACGATCACTCCCTTTCAACTCTTCCTATTGTAACTCTTACCAAACATGCCTGACATAAAAGATTCACACACATGCTACACTGATCTGTAAAGATGAAGAGCTTTTCAAATGAGAGTAAAGAAGAATACCGTGATGGAATAGGAATCAAGCTGTAGACCAGAAGCAAGGCCTTTATGCGCATATGGTACATGATAGCCACCATCTAAGTAGTTATCACAAAACACCTGCAAATAGAAATATCAAGAATTAACAGTGTCCTCGCATCTCCAATGTATCATATCATACACATTAAAATAAGACCAACCGTATTAAGAACAAATTCCATGGTTTTTCACCTGTAGGATAAATCAGCTCAAGATATAAACTAAGCTTACCGGAAGAGCGATGGTGAAAGTCTCTGAAATAATTCTTTATCACATGACAAAACTCCCAAGGAAGAACCAAATTTCAAGGCCAGACAAGAGGTCCATACCTTCCAATTGCAGTCAATGGTATATCCACGTCTGCAGAGATAACTGAGTGAAGAATCAATTCCACTGGTGCTCAATATATCTGCACTGCTACCGAGCCATTCCCTTCCCACATGATGGCTATCCACTTCTGTTTGAGGAAAACCCTCTTTGTTCAGATTGAGAAGTACAAATGGGCCCCAAATAGCTACTTCAATTGGTATAAGCCCAAAGTCCTATCCTACATTGTTACAAAAATCAGCCAACTCTCCCTCTATCAGAATTTTGTTTTACAATAAACAAATCATGGAACAGAACTTCATACATTTTCATTGAAGTCCCGCACTCCTGCTATTCTAGTTGCCTTAAGAAGAGCTCCATTCAATCCATATGTCCACCCCTGCAAAGATCATATTCCTTTCCTGTTTTAGGTTGCAGATAATAATGCAAAAAATAGGAACCTGTCATGAGGAAGAAGCAACAGGTAATGACAACTACTACCAATAGGAAAAAGCTTAAAAAATGTTCACTTTCGACCAGAAAGATAACATGAAAATAATATATATATATATATATATATATATATATATAAACCAGAGTAGGTAAACTCACATGGTAAGGGCAGACAAAGCAAGATTTCTGTCCGCTACCAGATGCAAGAAGAGAGGCATGATGACGGCAAACATTGTGAAAGGCATGAACCTTCCCATTCTCATCTCGACATACAACAAATTCAACATGTCCAAGTCTGCAAAATTAGTCCTCCAATTGGTTCTCAGAAACTCAGAGGAAAAGAAAGTTTGCTCCCAAAGATCTTTTCCCCTTCCAAGAACCAAATGGAGCTAACAGTAGAGCTATTTTACTAACAATATATGCAAGTACAAATTGGGGGAGAAAAAAAAAATCAGAATTGCTCCCCCTTTATTAAATGTGAAAATAGATGGGAGGAAAGTATTAAATTTAAAACCTGCCAGTGAAAAAGTCATGTGGATCCTTTATCTGCTCTGTGCACCCTGGTTAAGAAGGAAACAGTGGATGGTGACAATTCTTGGTAAAAACAATATTTCAAAAGAATAACTCATGGAGACACGATCCATATCATGACAGGTTTTTATGCTTCCAAACGTGGAGGGGGAAAAAAAAGAAAAAGAAAGAAAGAACAAATCAAAGTTTAGCAAATGAATATTAAAGCACACTTAAAAGTGCTAAAAGTGCACTTCTGACGCTATCTTTATGGGTTTTAATTGAAGCCAGTTTCTTGGACTACTAATTAAAGTTTCAAAAGACTTTTCCGACCAATATAAATTGCTTGAAAATAAAGAATCAAAACGATGATATCTGCTCAATCATATTTCATGCACATGCTTTCAATTTTCCCAGAATACCAAACTATTAGCTACCTTTTAAGACATTCACATTGGGCAAGATCAGAGGTAAAGGGAGTAGCTTAAAGCTGCAACAAGATTTTAAAGATCATTGGTTTATAAATAACTCATTAATCTAATATTTTCTGTCGCTCTCAACAATGAGGAAAAAAAGAAACTGCTTTGATATGTTGGTATAACTCATTAATCTAATATTTTCTGTCGCTCTCAACAATGAGGAAAAAAAGAAACTGCTTTGATATGTTGGTTTTGTTACCATTACTAACTAATCAAGTGCATAATTAATCACGTATAGCTCTTGCTTCCATGAGTTTCATTTGCATTTTGTTCAGTGCTTGAGCGAAACTTGATCACTTTTAGTGAGCGTCTAAGCTATGCTATCCTGGAAAGGCTTAAAAAACAATAGCTTAATCCAGAGTCAAAATAATTATCCTTTTAATGCTTGTATCCATGCATATACATCTCTTCTTATTCAATTTTGCAGTAACCCTGTGCACTTTAAACTAGAAGCCTTTTCTTTTCACAACTTTGATCCCATAAAAGGAGGACGTACCCTCAGATTTCTAAAAGCAACAAGGCCCTGACGGCTGAAACAATTATGAGAAAGGGGCAAAGGCAGGTCAAACTTTTAGGATCATCTCCTTATCCCGTTGAAAATTGGCAAAACTAAAATTGAAATTAAACATGATGAACCAGTAGCCTCCACGAGCCAGATTGATATTATCAATGGTTAAGGAATATTGAAAGTGCCAATTTTTTAATATATGTTGTAACCAATATTTCGGCCATTGAAGCAAAATTCATGTTACTGAGATAACTTTTTGCAAATTGATCATTCTTGCAGATTTTAACTCTGCAGTTTCATATTTCATATTTGTATCCCTCGATTTTCAGAGGAAATGATCAGTCCCACCAACAGAACAGCGTCCAAAACGAATATTGATGCAAAAGAAGTAACCACTGACCTACTGCTTGCCAGCCACTATAGAATACGCGATCAAGCTCAAACTCGAAGAAAGATGGATCGGTGTACCATGAGGCCGGAGGAGTTATAGCTTTTTCCAGGGGAATCGTGGGGTCGAAATGGCGCACGAGTCTTTGAGCATGAAGTGACACATAGGACGAAGAAACGACAGTCGGATTTCGAAGACAGCAAAAGGGAAAGATTCGATTCGAACACCGATTTTTATTTGAGACATTGAGAATCGAAATTTGGCGAGGAACAAAGGAATTGAGTAGCATCGTCATGGACATCGAAGTAGGGTTGGAAAGCGGGAGTTCCAAAGAAGAGTGCTCGCTGCTTAGCTATTGCGCTCAACGTAACATCCAGTTGCTCGGCACCATGGCACACAACCGAACACACAAACACACAGCCAGAGAGAATTATTTAATTATTTAATTTTATATAAAATTTTCATTTTAATTTTTTAATTTAAAAAAATACAGCAAATTAAAATCTTATGTGAAGTTAAATGGTGTAAAAATATACTTTAGTTTTTTCATTAATCACCCTAAATTATAATATCATATTAATTTCTATTCTTCTATTATTCTCATTAAATATGAACACACTCCTACTCTTTAAAATTATCATAGGTTTATAAAAAGGACCGAAAAAAAGAGAAGGTTCTATACTCGCCGAGGCAGTGTTTGCTTGTGTATTGAAGTTTAGGGAGTGTTTGGGTAAGATCAAAATCATGATTTCAAAAGTGCTTTTACGGTATACGAAGTAAATATATTGAGGATTTTACCTCGATTTATGGAAAAGTGCTTCTGAAAAGTGATTATTAGGGTATCCAAACACCTTCTTGTAAAGGATTCGTTAAAATTTCATTCACAAAATTTATGACTTTTTTAAAATCTGTAATTAACTTCGCAAGAAATTAAAGGATTTCATCTCATGATCTAAAATTGACGAAAATGGATATTCACTCTCAAAAATTTCAATTTCTTTTAGTTCAGAACAAAAGAATTTATGAGCTACTGCTTTTAATGAAACCTTTGGATTTGATTGATATATCATAACTGTGGCAGAGGAATAGTATTATCGCCAAAATGATAAGCTGACTAATTTCCTTGTTGTGCGAATAATAGCATCATCCGCTCCTTCTTCTTTGTGGAGGTTGCCCTAATTAGGGTTTTTAAACAGTTATAAGGCACATTTAATTAATTTAATCTTATTTTGACAAGTGTTGCACATTTTCAACGCAATCACATTGATCACACCACGCTTATTTAACTTTTTTCAAAGTCAGAATAACAAACGAATTAATAAAGTTTCCTATCTCCAGCCCATTTGCTCTCCTCCTAGCTACAAAGATTGATTATAGGAAGTGCTTTAGTTTCCTATTCTCTTAATTAATCATCATGCTTCAAGAGAGATTTGACTTCTTGGCCCAAAAGGGGAAAAAAAAAACAAAGAAAGATTTGACTTCATAATTTTACTATTTTCTTAATCACCCAATTTCATTCCAGATTAAAAACCAGACTATATACACATAAAGGGTAAAAGATCGATAATTAAGTAGCCACCTTTTAAGAACCGTTCCCAATCATTTAATTTATTCAAAAGCCTCTATCCTAGCAAAAACATTTACGAGTTACAACAATAGTATTGCAGAGCAAAGATCGAGGAGCCGACATAACATTGCAAATTTTAAGAAAACTGGTCTACCGATTCATCATTTTCAACATCACATCACACAAAATACAAATAACAGAAGAATCAGTCTGACAATTAAAACAAATCAATACATCTTTGGTAAGCAAACTCTTCTTAACAACCAACCATAAAATAAGGAAGTGTTGCTATAAGTTACTCCAAACAAGTTAAAGGGGGCCTGAACAAACCTCATATATATCCTTGCAGCCACTTTAGGGGGTGTTTGGATAGAAACCAAACCATGGTTTCAGAAGTGCTTTTACGGATTACGAAATAAATATGTGGAGGAGATTACCTCGTTTGCGGAAAAGTGCTTCTAAAACCATGGTTTTGGGTTCCCAAACACCCCCTTAGAATCCCAGGCCAGCTCGAACGTATGGCTTTTTGTCAAATTCACAGGTTAATTTCCTTTAATTCAACAGAAAAATTGTAAGTCTAAGGCCTCTTAGGAACCTCTAGAATATAATTATTAGGAGTGGTTTAGGTCATAAATACCACTATAACGAACCTTATTTTCATATCAGATTTGAGATAATATAAAATACTACCCCTGATTATGAGACTCTATTTACAGTTTATAAACAAGATTTTATAATTAAAACTAGAGGTAATCTGTTATTTTGTTCCCTATTTTATCCTTCCTTTGCTATTGTGAAAGGCTAGCCAACCTATTATTAGATTGATGGTTCAAGATTTGCAAAGCTCCCAATTTATATCTTAACCCAAATTTATATGTTGCTGTGTACTGCCTCCCATTTTTAACCTAAAAGTTAGTTAAAAATTGAATTCGGTCTTAAATATAAAACATCAATATATTTTGTCTTTCAAATTTAGATTCTCCCGGTCTTATTTATAAACTTCAAATTTAGGAAGGGGTGTCATTCATTTTATAAGCTTCAGTTTGACTTTATCTTAATAATTAATGCATTTTTTCTCATTTTGCCCTTATTTATTCTCTCTCCTTCTTTATACTCTCTCCTATCACATTTCTCAACACATTCTCTTTATCCATTTTTCTCATTTATCACAGGGACATTTTTGGAAATAAAGGTGCATTTCTAACTTACTTATTACTTTTAACTGATTTTAACTAATTATTCATTATTCATAAATTAGTTATTTAATTAAAACTTATAATAAAGATAGCAGGGAGTAATTTTTTTCTCTGAACATTCCTTATTGATTATAAGCTTTTTATTAAAAGGGTAGTTCCAATATACATGATTAAAGAGATAATCTAAAAAGGTTAACATATATTTGTTACAAATAAAAAACTAAACTAATTATCTTTAAATTAATTATATAACTCTTATATTAAATACTGAAAGTAGTTTTTGGATTATTTGTTCTTTGTATTTGCGGTCCATCATATCATCAATGTTCCTATTATTAATGTTGAATGGTCGCTTCTCTTGCCAAGTTTAAGAAACTTCATTTGTCCTTTAATTTGTCCTACGCCATGGATTACGCCAACCCCCTCATCAATCTTGAACATAAGGCACATTTTTTTGGTCAACTTTAGTGCTACGTACCCTCGTCTATCTATATTATGTCTTTTGGACTTCTTTCAACCTATGATAAAACGCCCACCTCTTATAGCTATTTTGCACTTTAAAAAAATTGGTCCCTAAATTTTTTTATTTCTGTTGACATTAGCCTCCAGGCGAAATCTCTTGCTGCCAGGCGGCCGCTTTCTTTAAAAGGATTTGCATATTTTAATCCAAGCACGCCATTTTCTTTTTGCCTTTCCATGTGCCTCCCCCATGATGACCTAAATTTCTGCTTCTTATTCAAATTATACATGAGAATAAATTACGAATATTTTCATGTGCAGAGTACAAAATGTTTTTATAATTTGTTATTTAGTTGGATCCACAAATTCCAAATAATTAGCTTGGACTTGTACACCGAATTTATAAATAAGTTCCTTTATGAGTTATATCTAATATACTTTGGTTTGCTAAATGTTTTCATATTATATATATCTAAAGACATGTAGATTTTGAGATGTTGTATGATATATGCAACACTAAAACTTGCCATATATTATAATAATCACAGCCGCAACTATATTATTTGGTCATCTATCAATTGTCGCTCCGTACCAGCTGTATCACCAATTGCATGTAATCATATGGATGAAGTGATCAATATATTTGTAACTTATTAGTGTAAATAATAAATAATACAACTCATCATTTTAATTTTTGTGTGCAGGCTAAAGGTATCTAGATAGTTCAGAATGCTATAATATGCATGCTTTTTCATGTACTATGTGAAGTCGTAGATGAATTATATAATTTATGTACTATTTCTTGTTATTAATATAAGAGGTAGATAACTGATTTAGAAAGATTAAAGAAATTAGTTAAGTTGGTTAATTGTAACAAATGTATATTGATTTTTCTAAACTAATCATGTGCATTAGAACTATCTTTTGGTGGGAATACCTTACAATCAATAGAGATAATTTTAAAAATTGTTAAAAATCAAAAAGATAAAATAAATTAAAGTATTATATTTAGGATTAAATTTAATTTTCAACTATCTTTTATATTCATCACAGGAGGTAGTACTATATATTGTGTCATTCATTTCCTTATTTTTTGCCATCTATATATTACTCATTTTTCAGAAAAAAAACTTAGGTCAAGTTTCTTATATCCATCATGTCAAGTTTTCTAATAATATATAACCATGTGTCCTATTTTTAAAATATTAACATTAAATAGCATTTAATTATAAATTTAGATCATGTATGATTGGAGAATTTAACATAATGAGATAAAAAACTTGATGTAAATATTCTCTCTCTTTTAATATCATATATAGATGGAACTTATTATTTATTATTTAACGAAAACCCGTAATTAAATTAAATAATACTTATAGACCATCCGTACAGCATAATGAATTAACTGTAACCGCGCATTTAATATTATGCCACCGCCAGTGGGCCAGATAAGCTATATTCAATCTTATCTCATTAGTATATGACGAATTATATATTGCTATCAAATTAAAAATGACATAACATGTGTAATAATTTGGGAAAATCACTAACAGGTCCCACAGAAGACAATTTATTACTCTGAGGTTCCACGAAATGTCAAAATCACTGATAGGTCCCAAGGGACCTCAGAGTAATATTTTCGTTTTGTAAAATGACATTACTGCCCCTCATATTCCAGATTCACATTTGCTCTGTCATTACGATTTACAACCTCAGCAGCGACTATTAACAATCTAATGAGAGGGCGTTAACAACCCTAGCAGTATCCGTTAACAACTTACTTTATAGAATTATATAACCTCTACATAAGAGTAAATTATAACCAAATAATATAATACAACAACTTTAACATTAAAATGGGAGATATCATTAAGAATTTTAACTAGATCCAATAGGATTATAGTAATATTTTAATGCGAATATCCATTTACAATCTCAACAGCGATTATTAACAACCGAATGAGAGGGTACTAACAACCTAAACAGTAGCCGTTAACAACTTACTTTATAGAATTATATAACCTCTGCATAAGAGTAAATTATAACCAAATAGTATAATACAACAACTTTAACACTAAAATGGGAAGCTTTTTGATATCATTAAGAATTTTAACTAAATCCAATAGGATTATAGTAATATTTTAATGCGAAGATCCATTTACAACCTTAATAGCGACTATTAACAACCGAATGAGAAGGCATTAACAACCTAAGCAGTATCCGTTAACAACTTACTCTATAGAATTATATAACCTCCGCGTAAGAGTAAATTATAACCAAATAGTGTAATACAACAACTTTAACACTAAAATGGGAAGTTTTTTGATATCATTAAGAATTTTAACCAAACCCAATAGGATTATAGCAACATTTTAATGCGAAAATCCACTTACAACCTCAACAGTAAGTATTAATAACCTAAGGAGAATTGTTAACAACCTTAGCAGTGTCTGTTAACAACTAACTTTATCGGATAATATAACTTCTAACTATAACTAACTAAATTATAACTAAATAGTCTTAAAGTTAATCTTATATAGTTGTTAGAGGTTATATTATCCTATAAAGTCAATTGTTAATAGATACTGCCTAGATTGTCAACAGCTCTCTTTGGGTTATTAATACTCACCATTGAGGTTGTAAATGGATCTTCGCATTAAAATGTTGCTATAATCCTATTGGGTTTAGTTAAAATTCTTAATGATATCAAAAAGCTTCCCATTTTAGTATTAAAGTTGTTGTATTATACTATTTGGTTATAATTTACTCTTATGCGGAGGTTATATAATTCTATAAAGTAAGTTGTTAACGGCTACTGCTTAGGTTGTTAATGCCCTCTCATTCGGTTGTTAATAATCGCTGTTGAGATTGTAAATGGATATTCGCATTAAAATATTACTATAATCCTATTGGATCTAGTTAAAATTCTTAATGATATCAAAAAGCTTCCCATTTTAGTGTTAAAGTTGTTGTATTATATTATTTGGTTATAATTTACTCTTATGTAGAGGTTATATAATTCTATAAAGTAAGTTGTTAACGGATACTGCTAGGGTTGTTAACGCCCTCTCATTAGGTTGTTAATAGTCGCTGCTGAGGTTGTAAATCGTAATGACAGAGCAAATGTGAATCTGGAATATGAGGGACAGTAATGTCATTTTACAAAACGAAAATATTACTTGAGGTCCCTTGGGACCTGTCAGTGATTTTGACATTTCGTGAGACATCAGAGTAATAAATTGCCTTCTATGAGACCTGTTAGTGATTTTCCCTAATTTAATTACTATGCTGCTATATATCTTAATGTAATGAACAGATGACGTTGAAATAATACTAACATATGATAGACCATTCGTACAATATTGCGTACTAACCGTTGAACTTGAATCTTGTGCCAGTTGGCCTTGAAAACAACTGAAGCTTATTATCTCATTAATCATGAACATTTTTATTGACTTTGACATTTTTTTTAATCATATAATACAAGAGGATATGAATCAGCCCAATTAATTAGTTAACCGCATGATATTACGTTTAATATCAATAAATTAAAAGGGGATTTTTATATTTTCACTATTAAAATTTTGATTAAATTATCATATATAACTATGTGATATTCATGGAAATTATACAAGCGTGACATTAAATTATTATACATAACTATATGTCATGTTTATCAGAATATGTAATTTACAAAATAGAAAATTCTATGATAAAAATATAAAAAATATTTAATTTTCTGGTGAAGTTTTGGATAATAACTATATATGATCAAAACCAATATACATAATTTTTCAATCATTGATTCAATGCTAACGCCATCTAACTTGATTTAAAATCAATCTTTTACTTTTGAAATAATGTTTGTGACTTATGTCATATTATATTCTTAAATCGACGTGAGATATTTGTTAGAAAATTTCATGTTGACATTAAGAATTATATCAAAATAATCAAGAATAAAAAGTTTCTTCAATCCTTGTTCATTTGTTATGAAAAGAAAACTAACTAAATTTCGGTCCAATAACAAGAAGAGCCATATAATTTAAGTTCCCGATATTCGCGGCATGGGGAAAAAAATCAAAGAAAATTTCAGAGTAAATGGTTATACAGGAAAGTTTATGTAAATGTTGAATAAGCTGATGAAATTTTTTAAAAAAACCAAAGGACATTTGCATGGTTCATTTTTAATATTATTTTTTTAAACCAAAAATGGTAACTTTAGCAAACAAATGAATTTTACTGTTTATAGTTTTTGTATAAAAGTATTACTATTAGATTGCTTAGAATCTAAAGCAAATAGACAAGACAAAAGGAAATGGTACATAAGCAAAAGATACAAATAAGTCGAAACAGATGAAATGATGATATGAAATAAAGATCTTGTTGGAAAAGGATGGTTTGCTATGAACCTGATGGGAGCCTTTATTCTTATCACTAGAGGGATTGCCCGCCTTGTATTCCCTTTGAAAATTATTGCAGAAGTATCAAGCTAGCTCACATAAATATTTATGTATATATATAACATGTATATATTGATGATACGTCGATTGTTCATATCCGTGTAGTTTTAATAATACTGAGATCAGATAAAGTCAAGTGATTGATAATATACGTATAAAGATTCTTTTTTTTCTGATTAATTAGTTTAAAAATTATTTATTAATTCTGAAAGGAAAATGATCATAGAAGAATAGGAGTAACGGAGGAGAAAAAGATGGGGGGTTGACTTGATCAAGTGGGTAAGAAGAGCACGGAAGCCTAAGCCTCAGCATACGGTTTCTTGTACTTGGCTGCTTTAACGTCATCACTTATGTCCCGTTCCTTCATTTCAACCGTACGTCCTCTCATTTCAGTCCCTCCTTTTCTATTTAAAGCAACCCTTCCTTCTTCGTCTTCTTCATCTTCATCATCGTCCTCTCTCCCTCTCATAACTTGTATAGTTTCTGCAAGATGATGTACGAAAACCAGCGCACTATTCATCATGCTCCTCATCATCAACATCAGCAGCTGAGGAAGATAAAGACTCATCACAATCAAGATTCTCAGAAGCACAGATCAGGGCATGCAGATCATCAAGAGGAAGAAGGAGAAAAGCTCCAACTAGTCGACCTCAGTGGCATGTCCCTCGACGCTCTCCCTAGCCCTTCTCTTAATTTAGCCCTCATCTGCAAGTTGAACCTCTCTAATAACAACCTTCAGGTATGTCTGTGTGTATATGCACACCTCCTCCTTACCTTTCACTGATTTATCAGGTCTCTATGTAATTAACCATCCATTGCTTTTCTCAACACTCGTTAATATATATATATATATACACACACACACATATAGCTTTATATATTGAATTGTTCCATGGTTTCGCTTGCTTCTGTATATGCACATGTATGAGTCAGCAAGCTAGTAATCGGAATCTGCGGGAAAATTAAAAAGCTATTTCAGGTAATAATATTGGTTCAAAGTCTGGGAAAGGCCTTGTTGGAAGAAGTTTTAATGAAAAAGATCAGATGATTAACTCATTTCGTGCCAAAAGATTGATAACTTATCAGCATATACCAAGCGTCGGCAACATCAGATAAAAGGGAAAATTTAAAAGGCGTACATTTTGGTTGGGTTGACGTATATCGTTGTGTTCGCCAAGTAGGAATACTTTTTTAAGGGCGAAAGAAGGTTTATATTATACTAGTACATATAGACAAAAAGTTTGGAAAAGTTTTACAGCTGAAGCGTGGGCTGTGGTCAAACAAATTAAAAACCTGGGGTCTGGCGATTAATTACTCTGATGTATGTTCGTTTTATGTCATATCATATCGATGTACCGTTCACACTTCACACCCCAGTCATTATTCATTAATATGAACAAAAGAAAACTGAGAGCTACACTAAAACCACAGCCCCACCCTAATATTTATTTGTTATGACCATAAACTTACTTTGTTTGATTAACACAGGAAATTCCGGAATCTCTAACAGCGAGATTGCTAAATGTAGTGGTGTTAGATGTGCACTCCAATCAGCTTAGGTCTCTCCCCAATTCCATTGGCTGCCTCTCCAAGCTCAAGCTTTTGAATGTCTCTGGCAACCTCATCGAATTCCTCCCTAAAACCATTGAGAATTGCAGGTAATCTTCATCATTAACCAGCTCACTTCTCCTTTTTTATTATCATTCTTATCGATTTCCTTATAGCAAAACGTCAAAGTGCTCTTCAAATTACATACGTATGCTTGGACTATTATAATCATCACAGACATTACATATATATATATAGACAAACACGCACACAAAAACCCGTGGCTATGTTGTACGTTTGGTGGCAGATTTTTATATTTTTATATTTTATATTTTTGTTTATAAGAACATTGAACCTGGACATACATGTTGACATACATATATATAGGTTTTGTGAAACATGTTTTTGCACCGAGAGAATCTAAACTGATGAATCATACTACCTTCCATTTTATTTATAAGATCCTGTTTGCAAACTATAAACAAGATCTTATAATTAGAACCTGAAGTAGTATCACATAGTAATTGATTATTTTGAATGCTTTTCCTCTTGTTGCTGATGCATATATACGTTGAAATTAAATATCCAACAAAAGTTACAAAACAACCCATTAAGTGGGATAAACAGTAGCTAGTAAACACTGTAGTATTTAATTGATTAATTAGACTTAACTTTAGACGTGGCTATTCTTCTTAATTATTAGTGTTGTTCACTTTTCTATATCTTTCTGCTGAAACCGCGTTCGTCAAAACGCATGCCAAACAGTAGGATATATATTTATATGCTTCATAATCATGACTGGATTCGCAGGTTTAATAATTGATTAGATTGTTAATAAGCTATTAGAGAACAATTATATATATATATATATCCTTCAAAACCTGTTGTTTTCAAACGTAATTGATGCTGATTTACGCATCTTTTGTTGAATAAAAAAATATTAAATGTTTCCATAGTTGCATATGTACGTTGATGATGCGTGGCATTCAGAAACAGAGGGCACGGCAGGGAGGCGAATTTTGGGTGCAAAATTGCTTCGTTTTCTAAGGGGTTGCGATCAATAGTTATTTTTTACTTGAAACAAAAGAGAAGTCAATAAGGCCTGCATATAATTACGGAAAACTTGTACAAAATAAAATAGTTCACGGATCCTTTTCAAATATAAATTGTTTGACTATTAATTCGTGGTGTGTATTGAGTGATTGATTTTAATCGTGCAAGGAACTTCAACGCATCCACATGCACAGCAGAGATACTTATTTTCTTGTGTTCCTATGATTTCCATGGAGATAGATATCAATAATGTGCATCCTTTAAATTTATTGGCCAAAATATTCTTCTTTTGATGTTTATTTCACATTTATTAGCATTTTTCATTAGAAAGATTGGTCAAAAGTCTCTGATTAGAAAGTTTACCAAAAGCAGCTAAAAATCTAAATTCTTCGGTAGGTGCAACTATTCATTATCTGTGTGCAATACATTTTTAACTATGTGTAAATATTTTTCATTATGCGCAAAGTTGAAAATAGTTTACACGCATCTAATTACATTTGTTGAAAAAAAGTTACACACATGGTCTTTAAACAAATTTCATTATCATCTTTTAATAAAATTTATCTCTTAAAACTATTTTCATCTTAGTTTTACTCTTTATTTTTTTCATTTTATACCCAAAAAAAAATGAAAATAGCTCTGTGGGTCCCCGGCGCATCATGGTCCCGTCATGGCTGCCAATTGTTGAAAATATCTCAAGACAGGAAAGCTACATCGATATTAATTTTCAAGAAATAAGATTCCAATATTCCATTGTTGTTAGCTGGAAATATTTTGCATAAACTATTAATTTGAGATACGTCAGAATATACATCAATGTTATGACCAAAAAAAAAAAAAAGAATATACATCAATGTCTGAGACTGTAAATATAAACTATATATATTGCTATTATATTGTTACATTGAAACTGTGTTAGAATGTAACTGTAAACTAACCTTTGACCACCGTACTACGGAGCAGGGCCTTAGAAGAACTGAACGCCAACTTCAACAAGTTGACTGTACTTCCGGACACCATAGGCTTCGAGCTCATCAACCTCAAGAAGCTCTCCGTCAACTCCAACAAGCTCGTCGTCCTTCCCCGCTCCACCTCCTACCTCACCGCCCTCCGAGTTCTCGACGCCCGCCTCAACTGCCTCCGAGCCCTGCCGGAGGACCTCGAGAACCTCGTCAACCTCGAGACCCTTAACGTCAGCCAGAACTTCCAGTACCTCGAAACCCTCCCTTACTCCATCGGACTACTCTTAAACCTGGTGGAGCTCGACGTGAGCTACAACAAGATCAAGGCGCTGCCGGACTCCATCGGCTGCCTGAAGAAGTTGATGAAGATAAGCGTGGAAGGGAACCCCCTGGTGTCGCCGCCGCCGGAGGTGGTGGAGCAGGGTGAGTATGCGGTGAAGGAATACTTGTGTGAGAAGATGAACTCGGCACACCAGAGCCCGCCAAAGAAGAAGTCATCGTGGGTGGGGAAGCTGGTGAAGTACGGGACCTTCGGAGCGCGTAGGAAGGAGCGTGAGGAGCGTGAAGGTTTCATCATGCACGAACAGTATCGCGCCATTGCTGGCCTTGCAACTCCAAGGCATGTCAGTATGTTCTCTCCCAAACGACTCTTCTCGCCCCGTAGGTACTCATGAGGCGCAAGCCGGTCAACATCGTCTTCTCCAACCAATGATCCTGGGTTTTGGTTGAATACGAATTATTTCATGTGCTTATAACTTCACTGTTTCGTTCTTGTACGTTTCCGTAAATCGGAGTTACAAATATGTATGATAGGTTTGTATGTATTTGTACGTAGATTACAATGAATCAGAGAGGAAGTACTCTACGTGGTGGTGGATTATTTGTGGGCACTAGGCCTTAGTGATCATCTTTTATTATGTCTTTAGGGAAAAAAGTGTCAGCCATGGTTTTTTTTTTTTTTTGGGCTAGTGTCAGTCATAGTTTGTATTAATTGACTTGATATATGGTGAATCTTGAACATCTAGGTTATTATAGACTTCCTGTTTAGTTGATAGTTATGATTAATAAGAATCAAAGGATTATAGCTAGTACTTAGTTCAAAGGAATCTCTCACTTATAAGAGAATTTAGAATTTTCATATCACTAAATAAATTACAGGGCCACTAGCAATAATGAAGAGTAGTTGAGTCATGAACGTTATCGAAACCTTCAAAAAGTTATGATTTATAAAGTTGTAATTAATGACATTTTAAAATAGGGGTAATCTTAAAAAATTTAATTAATAGTAGTATCTTGTTTGATTACTTATAATGAGGATTATGTATTCTTTTTAGAATTTGGAAAAATATATATCCACACTATTTTAGAAGGTATCTTGTAAGAAGGACTGGGGGAGTAAATAATTTAAGATCAAAATACTTAAATACTTCTCCGGTTTTTAATATAAAACCCAATTATTGAATTAGTTTTGGTCTTAAATGTAAGACCTATTTCTCATATTTATCAATTTTTTTTAAATTGTCCCTATGGATACTCCATCAATTATAATCAAGTAGAAGAGAAAAAGGAGATATTAACAAAGATAATTATGATATTTTAGGAAAAATGTGTCACATTTCTTATAATTAACTAACTTACCTAACTTTTTTAATTTAATCAAATTAGTTAAATGGATCTTATATTAAGGATCGGAGGAATAGTATATATCTTGAAGATTACATCATATATATATGTGATGTTGAATAGTTATATATCTTGAAGATTACATCATATATATATATATATGATGTTCAATAGTTATTTATTAACAATTAAGCACCTAATTAAAGGATAAGCATTTGGTTGTCACGCGTAATAATCCTGTGGGCTGGTGTCTGACTTTGGGTTTGGTAATGATAAAATATTTTGACAAAGTGTTTTATCGTGCTCCGATAGTGTGAGGATATACTTGAAGAGGCCCTTAAATATGGTCGTTTACAACATCAAGTTGACATTCTCAATTTTTGACTTGTAACAGTACATGCCTCGTATCCCAATTCATCATTAAAAAAGATTCATTTAATTTGATAGTACTCCTCCAGCCTAAGCTAGTTGGGATTTATATATGTTTAGTCTTAAATATACTCCTTGGTCCTTAATATAAGACATGTTTAACTAATTTGATTAGATTAAAAAAGTTAGGTAAATTAGTTAATTATAAAAAAATATGACATGTTTTTCCTAATACACTATAATCATCTTTTTTAATATCCCCCCTCCTTTTCCTACTTAATTATGATTGATGGAGTATCAATCAGGGTGATTTAGAAAAATTGATTAATATGATAAATAGGTTTTCTATTTAGGACCAAGATTAACTTAATAATTAAGTATTATATTAAGGACAGAAGGAGTACTATATTTCTGCTCTTAAATATAATATATAGTTTGTAGTATTTAGGACCGGAGGTAGTATCATTTTATTTTTTATATTTGTCATTTTTTAAATTAAATTCATGTATAATATAACATTATATTGTGGTGTTTTAAAGAAATCGAGTTATATTTATTATAATTAACTAATTTATAACTCTTTAATTTATCCAACTTAATTGTTGGGAGAAAAAAGGATGCAACTTAATTAAATACAGTTCTTATATTAACAATATGAAATAGTATTAACTATGCATTTTTTTACTGACCTTGTAGTGCTAAACTTTTTTCTTTTTCTTTTTTTTTTGGGTTGAGTCTAAGATATTCATTACCGGTAACAGTGATTAATTTCCTTCCACCGTAAACCTCTCAAATGGCCTTTACGTTAGAGATTAGACAATACTTTGTGTAAGGCCCGGCCCTCATGTGACCGTGAGAACATAAACCAGCATCTACAGATTTCAGTTAAGTAGGCCCATAAATGGACCAAGTTGGGTTTTGTAGATACTTATGGCCCTTCGTTCAGTCTACAAATTAACCCAACTTTAAGACCATAATGTGGTCCATTTAGCACTTGGCAAGATGTGGATATACATGCTCATCGCAATGTGAACCATTCAAATTGATTTTAAATAATTCAGATTAAATTTAAATTTTTCATATATTTTAATTTTTTTGTTTTAATAGATACTACCTCTGGTTCTAATTATGAGACCCCGTTTGTAAAGTACAAACGGGGTCTCATAATTAGAACCAGAGGTAGTACATAATTTAAAATAAATACAATCTTATAACTAACACTTTTGTAAAAAATAAATTTATCGTTACAAAAGTTATATATTAAAAATTTTAAATCTGAACTATTCATATTAAATTTTGAATGGTTTAAATTGCACTGTGATAATAAGCACATGATGCTCATCATTGTGATGAGCATCAAACGAGGACCAATAGATGAAATCTGTTACTTTTGTCCTTATTGAGGAGAGTTTTATATACTAGTATATTTTCTCTCTCACCCATTTCCTTTCTCTTCACTTTTACTGCAATTAATGGGGGATAAAAATAAAAATGAAGCATTAAAAGAGTATAAGTAACAAATAAAAAGAACCAAAAGTGTTCTCTACAAGTGATAAATAATAAGTAGCAGAGTGATATATACACACATGAAACAGATGTTAACCAATAGGATTCGAATCTTGCTGGTTTGGGAGGGTCACCCACCATACGGGCTTATGTAATACACAAATTGAATTTATGCATATATTTTTTGGCGTGAACAATCTATTTGCATTTAATATTACACACCTCAAGATTCTTCGTATATTATAGAGTGCGATCGAATTTATAACCTTTTATTTTACTTGACCAAACGTAAAAACACAAGCGAAATCCTTCGAACTATGAAAAAAATGAAACTAAAGGAACATTCGTGTAATAATTTTTTAGACTTTTTATCGTAAAATTCTAAAAGAGAATGGGATAATGGGTGAGCTGACATAATGTTTTTCTTGGCCAAAGAAGTGAACGTATATATTAGAACCACTTTTCTTCCTTTTCAATCTTTTTTTCTCTCTATATTTTATAAGAATTTTACCACTAATAATTTTTAAGAATTTAAACAGTGGAACCTTCCAACACCTAAAGTGAAATGGCAGCTGGGTAAAACCACATTAAGCTAACAAATAGAAGGGTTCTTAGAACTTTGTTTGGGGACTGCCTTTTAAAATATCCAATAGGCTATGGTTTAAAATTAATTACCATGCGAAAAAACACTATGAATCTTACTTTGCGCACTATATAAATATCAATGCGTGTGCATCACTGAATGAATATAGTGTGTGTGTGTGTGTGTGTCTTGATCCCGTATTTAATATAAAAGTCAACTTGATTTCCATAATTCAAATTCCGTACTTATATTAAAAATTAAAAAAAAAGGGAAAATGAAAAGAAGAGAAAAAGGCAATAATTTACCACATTGATATTTGTGTTACAAAGAAATAAAAATACTAACCCTCTTGAATGAATCTGAATCGTGCTTCATACGGTGTACCTAGCTAGCTAACTATCAAAACTAAAGAAATAAATAAATTGGACTGAGCAGGGCCTAAAAATATTTTAATTAACTTTTTGCTTCCTTCACAATTACAAATCCAATATCTTGAAAACTAATTCTCCCAGACTTGGCTTCACACACACTATTGATGTTGGGCAATTTTTGTGGATTTCCACTTGCCCAGGCATATATATGTATTAGTATGTTACAGTCCAAGAAGCACATAATAGAGTATTGTGATGGGCAATGCAATCAGCATTCCAAATATAACCCTGCAACATTATGCACAATTAACAAATTAAATCTCCATTATAGAATCATCACTTTGATAATTGCTAGCTTAATTATTATTTGTTATGATAATAATTACTACTAGTACTTACGCAGTGCTAAGAATATCGGGATGCAGATTGTATTCTTTAGCAAACACAAAGGGAACGATGCCCTGGGGAAGAGCAGCCTGAGAGGACGAAGAATAATTGATAATAATTAAACAAATGTTTATTTAACAAATCAATATAGATAAGAACTTTAATTAATTAATTCACTAAAACGGGTCGTGAATTAATTATTAATTTAATTATTACGTACCTGGACAATGGCGACGTGGAGAAGAACGCCACGAACACCAATGGCTATGGATGTGGCAGCAATCACTGCAGGACCAGTCAAGAACCTAACGACCATGGAAAATGCAGCCACAGACTTCCCACACGCTATGATCTTGGGTTGTAATGCCATGAACAGACCTGTTTAATTCACTTAAATTCATTTAATCTGATCATAATTAATTAAGGACCTTGTTGGCTTAAAAGATCGAAAAACAGAAAACAAAAGACGTTAAAATATGTATACCTAGACTGAACATGGCCATTCCTAGACCAGCGTCAGAAAGAATTGAAATGGAACCTTTTATAATGGTTGGCATTTGGATGTTGAATCTGCGTAATGAAACAGAGCCAAGGGTTTAATACACACGAGTAGTTATATGCAGATCTCATAAGGGTTATGGTTTGAAGTGTTGTTAGGGATATGCCTGAAGGAGATGAGGGACCAAGCGACACCGAAGAGACTGGAATAGGTATTAGGATTTCTGATGAGCTTCCTCCAAACCATGATGAGGATGAGCCTCGTCATCACACTCGCCGGCGGCATCTGTTGCTTCTTGTTCCCTTCTTCTTCTTCCATATCCACCTTCTTCGTCTGGCAACTGTACGGCGATTTGCTAACTCCTTCTTCTATCTCCCCCTCCCTCTCTCCGCTTCCTTTCCTTCCACTCTCTATCAGCTCCTGCATAGCTGCACCAACCAAGACATCAAATTATAACACCAACCTTTGTATGATGTTTCTGTTTTATTAATCCTACTCTCAGACCGCACAACTTAATTCGTATATATGTCACCTTTTGAGGCTGCAGTTTCGTGCGGGACAGCCTTGGAGGGATCGACGGTGGCAAATTCAGTAGAGGCGGCTGCTCTGTTAACTGCATGTCTCAGGTTTCCTTCAGAGACTGGGGATGCACTGGAGCTCCAAACAAACATGTGTAACTCCTTGTTCGGTGCACCACCGCTACCGTTGACAGCGCCGCCGCTTCCGCTGTCTTTCTTCTTCAGGCCGGCGGCAGTAGTACTGGCACTGGACCCGGCAAACATAGGGTTTGGAGGAGGGTATGAAGAAACCAATCCGCCATTGAAGAGCTCGCCGCTCATGCTCCTCCCTCCCCTTTTCTTCTGCATCTTCTGCATCTCCTCGTCGAAATTCGACGTCCTCGGCGTCGGTCCTTTGGACGACTGCAACGAGTACACATCCCCATAGCCATTGCTCTGAAAACTGTTGGTGTAGCCATGTTTGGGACTCGGAGCTTTACTGGCATTAAACATAGCGTAGAAATCTGTTTGATTAAAGCTTGAAGCTCTAGGAGTAGGCTCTCGCGACGACTGAACTGAATAGATCTCAACTCCAGTAAGATTAGACGCTCTCGGAGTCATCAAGTTGGACTTATTAAACGAAGAGATCATGGAAGAAGCAGCCGATCTTCGGACCAACACATGAAGCTTACCGTCGTCTCCTATCTCAGCATCGGCTTGAAGAGGTTCTCTACCGTTGAGCGAAACAACGTCGGAATCGACTCTAAAGGAAGTGATAGAACCAGCAGTCTCAGGAAACTGCTCCGATATCAAAAGCTTAGCTCCTCTGTATTCAAACATGAACAACATGAGAGTGTACCAAATAACGCTCTGTAGAACAACGATTTGAACCATGAGGCTGCCGGAGAAGTCTCCATACATGGCTTTAAGAAGAGGGATTCCCATGACGAGGGTGTTTGGGAGGGTGGACAGTGAGAAGAGTGTGATGCTCCAATCAAGGTTTCCTTGCTTAGTGAAGACATTCCAGAGAAAAAGAGCGCCTAAGATGACAACTTTTTGAAGAGAATCTGCGGCGATGAAACGGTAGTTCATGGCGTAAGGGTCGTTGGAGGAGATGAAATGGAAAGAGAGCAGAGGAACTGCAAAAACGGCGACGAATCGGTTGATGCCGGAGCACTGATCCGGCGTAAAGATTTTCCACCACCGAACCGAGCCATAAGCTAAGATCATAGCCACGTAGAGAGGCACTATAGCTGCAAAAACATCGTAGATATCCTTGCCGGTAATCATGGCTGATTATGGCAAGAACAGAAATAGATCGAGTTTGTGAGAGGAAGTTTTCGAGATTAAGCTGGAAAGAATGGAAACATGACTGAGAGAATAAAAAGGAAGAGGAACTAAAGAGATTAAAATTTTGGTCGATCCTGGTCTCTTATACATGTGTTTCTGCCAATTATTTTCAGATTAAAATACATGTCGAGGGTATCATGTAACTTCGCTGGGTTTTTCGTTTTACAAAGGAATTGAATACAGTTTTATTTGAAAAAAGAACACAATGAAGCTTTATATTTTACACTTCTCTTCCAATTAATTGTAGTCCCTTTATTGATTAACTCAATAATTGGCTGAAATGGGATGCTTCTGTAACTCTTAAACATGTCAGCTGATATATTAAAAATAAAACTGCATAAAAAATATCATTTGAATTAGCATGATCATTTTACTACCTTAACGGTCCCATAAACAGTGTATTGTATTAGACCAAAATTACTTTAGCATCAGTTTGAGCTAAAGGATTGGTTTAATAGTTATATAGGAGGACAAAATAAGAAGCTTGCATACAATTAGCAGGATTTAAATCGAAAAGATGTGTACTCTTTTAGAAATTGAAAAGTGCGTCTCACATTAAAAAAAAAAAAAATGAACATGATCAAGTGGGGTTAAATGAACAGATCGGGTTAGAATTTCCATGAAACGACACACACACACACACACACACACACAGAATTGAATATTATATAGGCCTAGCTCGTCGCCTTTGCAAACGTTCATGCACATGCCAGTATTGAGTGATCCGCGCTACCAGAAAAGATCTCTTCTCTGAGTTCAATTATTTTAATCATTCTTACTTGTTTCAGTTGAGACACGAAATTCTCTCTCTCTCTCTCTCTCTCTCTCGATTCAGTATATACATGAGCTTCACCAACTTTGATGTCGACCTTAATGTTAACAGAAACTGTTCCAAACTGGAATTTTTTTATGGAGGCAATGTCTGAAGATACCACGAAATGGGACAATCTTCATGTGCTTGCCTGCCAATCCCAACCTTAGCTTCAGAAATGGGAATAAAAAAGAGACAAGATACCCTTTTGGACTTGCGCGTGATCATCAGAGAGTAAAAATGATAATAACTCGTCTCTTAATTACATCAGATTAAATTAATATCATTACGGTGCTTGTGTGTTTGTGTGTGTGTTTGATGTCTAATCTTTTGTTGTTTGGTTTCCAATCAAAATCTAATCAACGAATAATTTTATGACAACGACTCTATTGATTGAGTGTTCAAAAGCATACAGGTTCATGCTGAGAAGAATGGATCTTCTTGAGAAAATTAAAAGGCAACTTAACTACTAAGCACATGTCATGTTTCTGATCTAATCTTATTAGTTTGATCTGAGGTGGGGTTTTTCTTGTATAAACGATTCCAATATTCCTGAGCTTTCATTAATTTAATCCCATAACAATATCTTTTCGGGATTACTTTGATTAGCTTTATGTATGTTCAATTGACACGGCTTTAAAAGCTTGCTTGTTATCAGTTCCAAGAAACTTTCTTTAATTTGGTCAACCAGAATATGGAATGGTTTATATAAGCATGAATCCAATGAAGTCTTTTGTGAGTTGTCTTATTTTCAATTCATCTATTAAATTAATCACCGTATAAATCGGCTTTCATCCATCTGTATCTTATGTAAGAAGAGATTATAAGAGCTATATGCACTTTAATATAATCATTATAGTTAATAGGAAACATGACCTGTATATAATTAATGTTCTGGATATGTAAAGTAGTATATAGCAGCATAGATTGACATCCTTTGAGTCTAGATTTAGTAGTGCTACCTGCTAAACTGCTAAAGGATTCAAGTTAACATCTTAGTTTGAAAATAGTGGTATTTAGAAATTTTATTTTAAAAGCACACATATTGGTCTATAATTTCAATTGCTAATCGTTAATGAGACTATCATAGCATTAGTATGATGAATATATGACCAAATATAATTTGTAATATATTAATTAAATTTTTAGAATATTTGTGAATATAACTCTGCTCCTGAATATAAAAACTGTATAAATAGTTTTACAATATATGTTTTAAAATAATTGAATTGAGAGTTTCGATGGATTATTACTCAAATTAAATGCAGCATAACTTGTATATTTAAATAAAATCAAGAACTGCCCATTATCTGTTCAGAAACGTTCAGTGTTTGCCTGCAGAATACAACTTGACATAGCAGGGCATAAAATTCAGTGAAGAAAATTAACTGTGGAATGAGTGAGAGAGACTCAGATGAAGCCAATCCTTGAAACTAGGAAAACTGGAACTTATCAGCTAGCCCTTGTATGGTAGTAATAGGGCAATGTGAGGCCAAATCAAACTTGGAGGTTGGAACTTTTACTCCAAAATGAGCCTTTTATTATCATCCTCGACAATCACATGACTGAAGACTGTAGCCTCAGTTTTTTACATAAGATCCTAGAAAATAAACCTATAACAATTTCGAGAAAATCCCACTTTTGGAACTCTGAACCAAAGCTGCCTTACCTACTTTTTATTTGGCTCAATAATTAATGTTGAGTATTGACTATAATTTGAGTCTTAAACATTCAGTATTATACTAAATATATTCTAAAAATTAATATACACTGTCGTCATGTCGGATCGCTTATTGACTTTGCTTTACATTATGGTGCCTATCAGACCACTGCTATACCCCATGCCTTGATCTATTATTATTACAGAAGATGTCGCATGCATGCAATCAAGAAAACTAGGAAATTTTTTGCGTACTCATTGAACTCGGGCATGTTTAGAGTAGTACAAATTGTTAGGAATTGGCAAAAAGTTGATCAGTTAGATGATGCAAACGAATGAGAAGTGTTTGGAAACACGTTTGCTTAGGAGTTGCTTCTGTTAAAATCATGGTTTTGGCTTTGGGTTGCTTCTGTCAAACTTATGGTTTTCACATTGGCAAGACGAACACGTCCTAAGAAGGTAATAAAAAGGGGAAAGCAGGACTTCTGTTCAAAGTATTGAATTGCATTATATGGACCGGCGACATGGTTGCTCTCTCTTACAAAACTCTCGGTGGTTGGATTGGAGAGAATGACACTTTATGATGGAAAATCGCAAGGCGCTGTTTGGCTTGAAGAGAGCTCACTCCGAAAACCGCTTTTATTACTTCGGTCCTTGTTGGCTCCAATCATGAGCTATATGGTGTCTCAATCCCAAAGGCACAATCATTCTGATGCGGTGTGTCAACCATCCATTTTAGGGCATGATATTGTCGTTCCCAAAAGGCGATGCGGATAACGCACGAAAGGAGAAAAAGAAAGAGAATTGATATCTGTTTAGAAAACCGACTTAAAGGCATCGACACCAAATTAAAACTTCCAAGAAAAAAATCTCAGAAAACCTTTTTTAAAAAGAAAATGAAAAGGGTAGTCTGCGAAAACAAAAATAGATCGGGAATAGATTGTGTTTTATGTTTTCTTCGTATGTTACTCCTCCATACTTAATATAAGACCTGATTAGAAAGTTAATATTGGTCTTATATATAAGATCTATTTCACATGTTTATCAAGTTTTTTAATATTCCTCCAACAATAATTAAGTAAGAGAAGGAGAAAGAGAATTAAAAAAGATGCTTAGTGTCTTTTGGGAAAAAAAACATGTCATGTTAACGAGTTTAACTAACATTATTAATCTATTCAAATTAATTAATTAGGTTTTATGTTAAGGACAGAACAAGTATTTTATGATAGAGATACTGCTATATTAGCTCATTGATTGAATGGAACTCGTGACTGAGCCAGTCACCTCCTCAATTACATATGAACCAAAATACATTAGACAGTATCTGTGTCTAACTTCGTGTCCAGGCCACGAAATTTTGTTGGCTTCAAAAAAGCAAAACTTCTTCATTCCAGGCTTCATTTTGATCCATGGGTCTGATGAGAACGATGGGTTGTTCTATATTTGAGGTTGTTGGAAACTATTTCTTTAGGAGGTTCTGCCAAAACTTGCTCAAGAACTTCAGATGATTATCTGATAAGGAACCAAAATGCCTATATCTATATTCTGTTCAATCACTTATGCAAGTCTTGCATTTAGTTGCAAAATCATTAACTTCTTTCATCATCCCTCACCAGTGAAAATTTTCAACAAGCTAAGTCTTGTATGTTTTGGCCATGCATGCCTGTAATGGATTATCGCTATCACCTAATTAACATAATAGTCTCAAATCTTTGGCACAGAAGAGTAACCAAGCTATTGCAAGTAGTTGGGGGCATCTTTCTCCCACATTCTAAGACGAGAAAAGCTTGCTTTGCTTAAGGATTCGAACAAAAAAAGCATTCTTTCTTCAATTTGAGTGGGGATTATCTTGTTCGGATGAGGTGGAATCACAATCTGATGCCACAACGTTGACCAAAAAGAGCATCCAGATAGATTTGCAAGCAAAGCATTTTGGTATGGACATTGCAGCATCTTTCTGCTGATGTAGCTTGTGGGAATTCATCAAAGAAGACAAATGAACTTCACATTTGCGAAAGAAAGGGACTGAAAATTACATTACATATAATCCTGACTGATTGAAGAAAAAGTTGCAGAGTCATTTGTGAGGTAGGTCAAAAGACATGACTGTAACTCTGTAAGCTCATAATGATCAAACAGGACTTCTCAAGAGATGTCTTGTGAATATCACGACCACCTTTTGTCGTATTATTGCTTAAGTTGACAGGGACAGTTCACATTCCGATTCATCAATTTCAAATGAGAGAGACTAAGCCTGTGATGTTCAACTTGGAACTTAGCATGACGGGTATCAATGGACCCAATACAATAAGAATATATAATACTCTTTTTTAGTTCTAAATACGAGCCAACTTGGATGTTTATTTTAATATTAAATATAAAATTTTCATTCACTTTATTTTTTATATTTATAATTTTTTATCATAAATTATTCTTATTGATTGCATATATGAAAGAAGGTTTTCATTGTTAAAATAATGATGAAAGAGTATTTTAGAAAAATTAATACAAATTCATTATAAATAATTAAATTTATTT